AAATTGTAAAAAAAGAGGGGTTTGGAACCTAAGTCCATCTTGTTGCCATGGAAACGTAAAAAATAAAATTTCGAAAATTTCTAAATAGCAAAAGGCACCAGTTCAGCATGTACTTGACAGACCTGCAAAGCTTTATGAAAAAATGTTGAACGGTTTCTGAGTTATGCTCCGTACACGAAACGTGACGGACGGAGCCCGTTTCTATATCCCCCGCCAACTTTGTTGGGCGGGGGATAATAAAAAGGGAGCTCAGAGAATTTCTCCATTTCAGATACTGCAGTAATCTAGACTTGCCAAAGATTACAGACTTGCATGGGCTGTATTAGACATATTTGTTTCGTGTCTGTATGACAGACTGTATGCCAACCTGTAACCGTTCAAAGGGCATCCGAGCATCTGATGTTAATAAAACTTGACCACTCGTGTAATTTTGCATATGGATATAGCCAGAAAACCGCACCTCATATATGAAGTAGTTTGGAGAATTGACGTGTACGTTATACAGAAGAGTCCACGTATGTCTTACAGAGGGGGGTTCACGTACACGTTATATGTAAAAGTTAGGTATGCCTTATAGAGGAGAGTTCATGTATGCCTCTCTGTGTGTGTGTGTGTATGTGTGTGGCTGATGCCACTGAACTACCATGCCGCAGTTTAACATGAATACCCCACTCAGACACAGTGTACCGACCCCGAGTCGACAAGTCCTTGTTTTAGCTGGCCCCTTAATGCCGAGCACCAGATAGAGGAGAGCTAAAGTATGCGTTATATAGGGAGGTTCACGTATACGTTATGAGAGTTCAAGTATGCATTATACAGGAGAATTCAGTATACGTTTCATAAGAGAGTTCACGTATGCATTATATGGAGACGTCCACGTATACGTTATGAGATTTCAAGTTTGCCTTATATAGGAGAGAGAGAGAGAGAGAGAGAGAGAGAGAGAGAGAGAGAGAGAGAGGGAGGGTGGGTGAGTGAGTGAGTGAGTGAGTGAGTGAGTGAGTGAGTGAGTGATAACGCCGCAGTTGAATCACGACACGGGGGCTAAATGAGAGGTAAGTCAGACGTGATGTAGAGCATTGAGTGATCAGATGTTTGAACAGAAAACAGGAGCAAGTGTATGATGCTGACAAAGGACCTTAATTAGCGCGAATCTGGATTCGAACCCATGATCGACAGGACGCAACTCTTCCGCACTGCCTGGTCGGAGATGCCACCTATATTGTGTAGGTGTTAAAATAAAATACTTACTCTCTTTCCAGAAGATAGAACCACCTCATTACAGATACAGCAGTAGACGCTAATACTACTTATGTTAGTCTTTAAGTCTTTATTTATTCGAACATGTGTAGGCCAACGGCCCATGGTACATTTAATGGTCCACAGCATATACGAGGTAATACAGGTTCCCGATGATTACAGGCGTGATACAAATACATTGCCCTAATTCTAATTGTAGTTTGGTCATAGTCACACATTAGAGTATCAAATGTATCTAGTGTAGGATGGACATAATACTTTTCATAGATATAGTGTTGCCTAACATTAACATATTCTTCACAAATAACTAAAAATGATATTCATTTTTCACACAGCCAGTATTACATATTTTACAGGGGTAGCCTAGTGGTTAAAGCGTTCGCTCGTCACGCCGAATGCCCGGGTTCGCCTGGGTACAATGTGTGAAGCCCATTTCTGGTGTCCCCCGCCATGATATTGCTGGAGTATTGCTAAAAGCGGCGTAAAACCATACTCACTCTCTCAACTCTCTTGGCGTTTTATTATGCCGTCCTGCTTCAACATGTAAAGAATGCGAGCTGCAACGGAAACGACTCATTGCCGGCCTAAATGTACCAATAGTTTAAAGCAAATAAATATGGTTCAGCACAGAATGATGTTTTAAATAGGGAATAATAATGCATTTGAGAGCTATTAGTAATCGCCGACTGCCATTTCTGTTCATAAATCCATTCTAACCGTGATACAAATTCATCAACAAATAAGTTGGGAAAATCGACAATCTGTTTATCCCAAACATTGTCAAATCCAACATTACACAAGAGGCGCTTAATTGTAGACACACAATTTATAGATTTTTCTATTAGAAGCTTCAAGATACAACATATTATGTTAGTCACAAGTTCCAAACTGTAATTGAACAAAATATTCACACACAATGATTCTGATAAATCGGCCCATGGGCGGTGGGATAGCCTAAGCTCGTCACGCCGAACACCCGGGTTCGATTCCCAACATGAGTACAATGTGTAAAGCCAATTTCTGGTTTCCCCGCCGTGATATTGCTGGAATATTGCTAAAAGCGGCGTAAAACCATACGCACTCATCTGATCCAAAACCGTTCCTTCACTCATCACGTGATAAAGAGGATCAAACTGGTTATCAAGTACATCAACCCAGTGGTCTGACTGGGATAAAAGGATGTCCTGTCTGTCATTGTCACATTGAGCAATCTCTAGGTTGGTTGCATCAGCTGTCGGTGACGAATGATGAGTTGTTGATGGAGAAAACTATTTCACCGCCAGGTGATGCCGCTGACGTTATGTGGATCAAGGTTACAGTGTTGTTTAGGATTGGCGATCTAAGGACACATAGCCTTGTCGGAGTCCATTACTAAACGTTTTAAGATTATATACATTTTGAAAAGCGGGCGCATACACTGTAATGCATCACTTTACATACGCATATATCTGTGAAAAGCAGAATAGGTTTTTGATATGCTGAAGGCAAGCCAGTCGTGTAACATGACATGGGAGAGCTCGCGTACAGATCATAGGAGAGAACTCAGTGTATATATTGTATAGGGTAGTCTACGTATTTATTGTACATGAAAGATCACGTATACATTGTGTAGAGCTCCCGTACATATTGTATAGGGCAGTTCATGTATATATTGTATTGGAAAGCTCACGTATACATTGCGTAGAGCTCCCGTACATATTGTATAGGACAGTTCACGCATATATTGTACAGGAAAGATCACGTATACATTGTGTAGAACTCACGAACATGTTGTATAGGACAGTTCACGTATATATTGTACAGAAAGATCACGTATACATTGCGTAGGAGAACTCACGTATATATTGTATAGGACAGTTCACGTATATATTGTACAGGGAAGCTCACGTATATATTGTATAGGAAAGCTCACGTATATATTGTACAGGAAAGTTCACGTATATATTGTATAGGAAAGCTCACGTATATATTGTACAGGAAAGCTCACGTATATATTGTACAAGAGAGATAACGGATATATTGTATTGTATAGGAGAGCTCACGTGCAGGAGAGGCCACGTATATATTGTATGGGAGAGCTCATGTATATGTTATACATGAGAGCTCATATATATTTGTGAGCTCAATCTATATGTGAGTATATATATATATATATATACGTATCGATTGTGATGGAGAGATCTTAATTTTGCATTAACTTGATTTAACACAGAATATTTAAAAAGCAATGTAGAAATACATATTTTACGTGCGTTTCAAAACGATATTAACTAAGCGTGTGTCCGCTTGGCAAACAAGATGTTGTTCATCTAAATAACCTTGTTACAGTTAAAATATGTTTTCAATGACTACTACCAATAAAATCAGTCTTTAAACATTTTAGTCTTACCTATAAAATTAGAATTGTCATGAATATAAACATGCAGGTGATGACATGGACAAAGTTTACTTATCTGAGATATATCTCATTGCCTTCATAAAACTTTTATAATTTTTCACTTATTTCTAAAATTATGGGGTGGTGGGATAGCCCGGTGGTTAAAGCGTTCGCTCCTCACGCCAAATAACCGGGTTCGTTTCCCCAAATTGGTACACTGTGTGAAGCCCATTTGTGGTGTCCCCGCAGTGATATTGCTGGAATATTGCTAAAGGCGGCGTAATTCACTCACACTGTTGATCTGCGACCGTGCTTGTCGTTAGAGGCGACCAACGGGATCGGGTACCAATAATGTTGATCACTGGATTGTCTGGTCCAGACTGGATTATTTACAGACCGCCGTCATTTTTGCTGGAATATTGCTTAATGCGGCGTTAAACAACAAACACACAAACAAACAAACAAACAAATACCAATGGGTAAATATAACGCAATACCTCTGCTTGTACATGCCAAGCTCAGTGGCGTAAATCTACTTTAAAACTCATTATACATCATTTAACTCACGTACTGATGCTAGATTAAACACTGTCGATGGTGTACGGCAGAACATGTGCAGTGCAATCCATAATAATGATATTGACTTTGAAAAACTAAAATTTAATACCTATAGTCACCAATAAACTTTCTTTATAACATATTCATACTTGTTTTGGCGAAATTGTTATTACTCATTATACATCATTTATGGACATAACTGTTGTGATAGAATAAATCATATCATAAATATATATGTTTTCATTTAACGCACGTTGTCCATGTTAGACAGGAAAACATTACAAATAAACACTACAAATGTTCCCTCGCAGTCAATCTATATATCTGGTGGTAAACATGAGTCTCGGAAACCCAGACAGTTGATGTACGTTACGTTATCAAGAACAGTAAATGAATTTACGCCGCTTTTAGCAATATTCCAGCAAAATCACGACGGGGCACACCGGAAATGGGCTTCACACAATGTACCCATTCGTGACCAACTCGTGTTATTCCGGGACAAGCCGTCTTGCAGGTTACGGAAAGGGGCGAGTGGTGACGAATGACAATGTACCCTGCGGGAAATTAAACCCGTGTCGAGCGAACCCCTTAACCATTGGACACGGACTAGGACCAATGCATCTTCATGCTTTTCTTCAAACATAGGAACCCGTGAAGATCCGGGGTATAATAAGTCTTCAGCAACTCATGCTTGCCGTAAAAGGCGACTATGCTTGTCGTAAGAGGCGAGGTTGTCAGGCCCGCAGACATGGTTGATGCATGTCATCGTATCATAATTGCGTGGATCGATGTTCATGATGTCAATCACTGGATTGTCTGGTCCAGACTCGATTATTTACAGACCGCCGTCATATAGCTGGGATATTGATGGGTGCGGCGTCAAACAACAAACAAACAGACAATCAATCAAACATAGGCCCCTCTTTACATCTCTCCATCGTGAAGGGACAGTGCGGTTTTGGGTCGGAAGTGTGTGTTTCTGGGCAGAATATACGGTTGTTGTCGTTGTATTGTCTCCATCTCCATCTGCAGCACCTTCACCTTTCGGTAACGCTTCCGCCTGGAATACAAAGGGTGTGTGCGCCACTTAATCGGGTTGATATGTCTTCACACCTTGCATACACTACTACTACTACTACTACTACTACTACTACTACTACTACTACTACAACCATCAAACATAAAAGGGACAAAACCCTTTCCATTTTCATAAGAAAACTCTGCTAGTTGCAGTGTCGACTTATGATTCGAACTATATCATGAGCATATGTTTATGAATCACTGTCAAATTAATAGTGATTCATAGCATATGTGTTCGCAAAAGGGTGAGCGTATCCTGTCCCAACGTCACAAACACATGCAAAAGCAAGCCCATTGTTCACCTGAAAAAACACGGGAACGTATGGTACAAGTCAAAATAGGTACTTGCATCGGACGTCATTCTTGTCACTGATGCGTCAAATTTGTAAATTTCATCCACATGTCTACCTAAAACGTTTTGAAAGCTTGAAGGCACGGTGGTACCGCCTACAGTTATTACCTCGATTAACTGATCAGTGTACATGTATCGTGCAGTTCTCTACTCCCAGGAGAGTATCTACAACCCAAGCGGCCTGTGTCGTTCTATATCGTTCTGCATTCACATTTACATCTAATCTACCGGGTACCCATTTACTACTTGGTGAACAAAACCTCTTCCCTGAGGAGACACAAGAGGTTGTACAACCTATGTTGAAATGCCGGTCAGGACCGAAGCACTTGTAACTCTCAGGAGTGAAGCTGCCACCCATTCATCTGATATGTAACCTGTGTTTTTGACACGAAGCCATGTGCGACCTTTCGGCTAATGGACCACTTAACACAACGTCATACTCATTTCGGGCTTCATTATACTGAGTGGGTGAACGTCGATATGACACCGTTATTCTGAATCGAGCCTTGTAACAGAAATCACATTAATACAGCATATTGTCTCACCATTTCTTATATAGTACGACAATGACGATGGCAGTGAGAACACAGCATGCAGACACGGAACCGGCAATGGCAGCTACAGGAAGGTTCCAATCTAATATTGAATTAGAAAAAAATAAATTTTATTACCTATAGTCACCCTTAAACTTTTTTAACCTATTCATATTATGGCGAAAAAACATACTCATTATAAATACTTTTACATAATTTATGTACATAAATGTCATTGAATCAATCATATCTTAAAAATAAATGTTTTCATTCAACCCACGTTTCTCAACTTTGTTAGATAGGAAAACAATACAAATAAACACTAAAAATGTTCTCTCGCTATCAATCTATATATCTGATGGTAAACCCGTGAAAAATATATTTTAATCCCTACAGTCATACTTAAACTTTCTTTTTAACCTCCTCATTTTTCATATGACGAAGAACATAATCAACGAATATGTGTTTCACTGTATGATCATAAGTCTACAAATATGTGTCACAGTAGTTATTGATACATACCTGAGCCTTTTACATCAACTGAAAAATACAATGAATTAGTCACGATCATTACAATTGATAGGATATATAATAATAATGTAAGGAAATACACATCATTACGTTTATGATACTTTAGTTTAGCAAATATTATTATTTCTGACACAGTGAGTGAGTATGGTTTAACGCCGCTTTTAGCAATATTCCAGCAATATCACGGCGGGGTACACCAGAAATGGGCTTCACACATTGTACCCTAGTCGGGAATCGAACCCGGGTCTTCGGCCTGACGAGCAAACGCTTTAACCACTAGGCTACCCGACCGCCCCATTTTCCGTACACAAGATGGAGAGCTAAATAGACAAACTAATGATGAGAAAATGATTGCAAAAATGTTCTTATGTGAATTCTGATAGATCACACCGACCCACAAAATTTAATTAGATAATTTAATTAGATTTAATTTAATTTAACCTTGGGTTTTAGTGCGTCAGATAAGTAGACACTGGAGCAATTTTTGTTGTTGAAGTATATGAGTTTTAATCAGTAAATAAAAATACAGTTGTAGTAAACATTTGACAAAGCTTGTTTATCAGTCTTGAAAACAATATTGGCCTCATATCCTGATATTTTCGAGAAAAAAAAATATCTTACACCAAGCTTCACGCTTATAAAAATATGTTTGTCACGTCACGGATGGATATAATTGAGCATTTTTTTATATTATAGAACAGAACATGTACCGTTGCATTCGTTCACGTCAACAGCACCTCGCCCAAGAGTTGTCTTCCCGGAAGTACAGGCCTTACAAAATGTCTGCCCAGTTTCATCCTGGTATCTTCCCTTGTCACATGTCTCACAGAGGCCGTTCAGCAGGTATGTGCCGGGTCCACACGGCACTGTCAACACATACGTCACGTCAAACACGTGACAAGATACACATACATGTACAAATATACATCAACGTTTAGGTTTGGATGCAAGGTGGTGGTAATAACGAGATTTGTTTCAGTCGAGATGAACTGTTAATTTTTGATTGTCCATAAATATGCAATTCTTTGGGCTAAAATATAGCCATGTTTTTTTTGGCCTCCGCACGTATTTTTCAAAATAACCGCTTCCTATGATTAAGTAGACTCTGTCATCCATACAAGTTACACTGGTATTGTAATGAAGAACCGAGTTCAGTGTGTTCCCAATTGGTTTTATTGGTATTCTTTTGTTTACAATAAAAAATAAAGAACCCCCCTTCTCACTTTTGAGAACCATTTGTGCAGCCTAACTATCACCATTTCTTTATTAGGTATACATCCTTTTGTTTGATACATTTATCGACACAGCCACTATTTAAAAAAACAAACATTCTGAGTAAGGAACTACCGTAGCCTACAGCATAGCGACAAGTGAGCTGGGTTCAACGCCACTGTGACATTATTCCAGTTATATCACGGCGTGTCAGCTTGATATGGGAGGAAAGCCTGAAGTTACGGGTTGGTGCTGACAAACCTAGAAACATAATCAGACTCAACCGGGATTGGAACTCAGAATATAACCTGGGTATTGACACGAGGTGGCAGCGCAGGTGCAAAAACGGTGTTTGTGAAGTATTCTATTAATGCTCATCAACGAACATGTTTACAGTTTCGATGACTGATGGATACGTCGTAAAAATAGACCCACCACAATAGGCATCGACCCTTGTCAGAGTATCGGGACACGTGACGTCCCCTGTGATGGTGGTAGAATGTTGGTTCAAGTAGAAGTTCCTGCCTCCGATCTTGACAGTGAAGACTCCGCTTTGACCTGATGTGTTCATGTGTATCACTGCACTTTCCACATCTTTCAAGCTGACTATGAGGCCAACTATGAAAAAAACGGACAATATTTGTATTTTATCATCCAGCTGAGCTGTCATCAGCAGTTTTTTATAAATAGTTCCATTGTCTCTTTATACTAAACAGAAACACGTTATAAGAATGTTATGGGTGTGTGAGTGAAAGAGTGAATTGTGTTTAACGCAAATCGTGTCCCATGAGTATTCAGAGTAATGGTTGTTTTCATTGATGTTCGAAAGGAAGAGAAGGTGACGTTAACCTATGTTGTGTACTCCGGTTTAACATTCTCAATAATACACACTGAATATATGAACAATAACTTTTTGTTTGTTTGTTTGTTGTTTAACACCTCACTCAGCAATATTTCAGCTATATAACGCCGGTCTGTAAGTAATCGAGTCTTGACCAGAAAATCCAGTGATTGACAACATGAGCATCGATCCACGCAATTGGGATCGATGACATGCATCAACCAAGTCAGCGAGCCTGACCACCCGATCCCATTGGTCGCCTCTTACGACAAGCATAGTCGCCTTTTACGGCAAGCATGGGTTGCTGAAGACCTGTTCTAACCCGGATCTTAACGGGCCGAAACCATACCTGTACATACCAGAAACAGGACTGTTTCCAAACGTCACCGTGAACCCAGTTGGATCTGCCGAACGTTTTTCCCGCCGTGACGCGTCACAACTGTCGATGGTAATGTTTTTCACCTGACACCGTTTGTCTATAATACAAGGGACTGAGGTTGTCTCAGCACGAACCGCCCCTTCAACCTTTCTCTTTGCATCATCCATATTGGTGTGGTCACATATCAGATCCATATACTCGGCTTTATAATTAACCGTCAAGGCTTCTGCTGGATGGATTTCTACAATGTAGATAAAGGAATCATTTTTCCATGGGGAAATCCCATATATGTGATAAAGGTATATCATGATTGTGTGGAAATCTCAGCCGTTACAAACATACGATGCCTTGTCTGTTTTTGTTTGACGTCGCTCTCAACAATATTCCAGCCAAATTCATTAAAGTATACAACAAAGCCAGAATTACCAGTGTCGTTTATCCAACGAAACAAATAAAATTGGGCGTAAAAGGCAAAATAGCGTTGAAAATTATATTAGTGGATCACTGAAAATGAGTGATGACACCAGGTGTTCTCGAAACCGGTTTGCATGTCCTGTGCTTCCGGTGGCAGTCGCCACTCAGAAAATGTGCACAATCCAGTGATGGACCATTCATCCGCATGAAGAGGTGGCAGTCATATCGGAGTAAACAACCTGATTTTAACGAGATTTATGCCACCTTTACGACAGCTTGTAAATAATCAAGGTTGGACCAGTATATGTTGCTAGGGACCAGTATATGTTGCTAGGGACCTATATTTTACCAGGGATCCCCACAGGTCGATTTGTATACGGTTCAGTTAACGTCACTGTGGAGTGCACATAACGCCTACATGAGATGATTTAAACTTCTTAAGAAAGAGACTTTCGGGTCGATTGATCCTGGCTTAATCCTCGATAGTTCAACAGAGCCACTAGTATTTTACTCATTCGCATTTAGTAGTTGTTGCGTTTGATAAACAAAATATCCAATTATGATGGGTAATTTAAGACCATCAGCTCACAAAACCCGTACCTCAAAATTGTACGAGTAATTTAACATTCATATTCATTCCGTCTTAACAGGTCACTTACATTTGCTGATTCGTTTATGACGATTAAATGAAAAGCCATGTGCTGGATGAGGAATCATGACACAGTAATAACAGTTGGTCCTAACAGTGTGCTACAGCAGATGTCACGCCTTTTAGTCATGTGTGTGAGTGAGTGAGTTGGGTTTAACGCCGCTATTAACAGTATTCCAGTTATATCACGGCGTGTCAGCTTAATGTGGGAGGAAAGCCCGAAGTGATGCAGGTCTCAGACGTTTACCACTTCGGTGAAACCCACGGGCACGGGTATGTTGCTGACAAACCTAGAAACATAATTGGGGCGAACCGGGATTCGAACCCGCAATCATAGGTTTCTGGCGTTCCCAAGGGACGCAACTCTGCACAGCGAATCGCGGCGCCTTAGACGACTGGGCCACCCGTGCCTCTTTTAGTCATGTAATACACTGATAGAATGTATACTAAAGCATTCCGTTTCACATATAAACATGTCAATCAAGAAGAATAAACATCAGTTATCCGCTGATGGAACCACCGCAGAGTTAAACTTGTATTAATCAATAATATAATTAGGATGATAAAATGAATATGATAGTGGTGATTAATCCTGTGTATGTTATTAAATACATGTTTATTATATTTGAATCTTACCCATGCACTTTGGCAGTCTGTGATAGGGGTTGTCTTCAGTGATGAAGTTCCACACGTATCCCGTCTCATCACCACACTCGTACACGTCCAGAGGGGGGATGTCGAAGTCGTAGCCTTCTTCGCAGCTCACGTTGCAGAACATCATCTTCCCGTTCATGTCGCAGTCGAAAGTGCCATTCATGGGTGGGGTAACTTCAGAACATGCTGCAACAATAACAAAGTCGCCAGAATTGATCATAGAAGCGTAAAAATATAACACTAAACCGATGATTATACTACATGTATTTCTGAATAAAGCTTCAAAAGAGTATTCAGTACAAACAAAAAATATTACCATCCAAATCTTTCATAGTCTAAAGTTTGTACCCGGTGCAAAAACATCGTCTGACCACAGAGCACATTGTGCGCTTTGGGCATAATTTCCAAAATGGAAAATGCGAGTTACAAACGAACCAATACTATTATTTGATAAAGTCGGGTCAGTTATTAATGCGTGAACTCAAACATGTAGTACCCATTGTAAGCACTCGATCAACAGAAGTAGTATTTTTATCATAGGAGCGTTACTGTCACCTTTGACTGAGGAACACAGAAACAATGAATCCCATATGTCACCAGTCGCCCGCACTATACCTGGACACGTCTGTGTGTTACAGTCCCTTGCGTTAAAACTGTCCCCCTCACATTCGCTGCCTCCATGTTGTGGTACCGGGTTGTCACAGCGTCGAGAACGATTTTGTTTCCCTCCATCACATTCCTCGCTGCATCTGCTCCAGTTTCCCCAGCTTCCCCATCCGCCGTGTACTGCAGAACAAAACATGTCCCTATAGAGGTGTGCCCGTCACCCGAGGTGTACTGCAGAACAAAACATGTCCCTATAGAGGTGTGCACGTCACCCGAGGTGTACTGCAGAACAAAACATGTCCCTATAGAGGTGTGCACGTCACCCGAGGTGTACTGCAGAACAAAACATGTCCCTATACAGGTGAGCACGTCACCCGAGGTGTACTGCAGAACAAAACATGTCCCTATAGAGGTGTGCACGTCACCCGAGGTGTACTGCAGAACAAAACATGTCCCTATACAGGTGTGCACGTCACCCGAGGTGTACTGCAGAACAAAACATGTCCCTATTGAGGTTTGCATGTCACCCGAGGTGTACTGTAGAACAAAACATGTCCCTTTACAGATTTGCCCGTCAACCGAGGTGTACTGCAGAACAAAACATGTCCCTATCGAGGTGTGCACGTCATCCGAGGTGTACTGCAGAACCAAACATGTCCCTATACAGGTGTGCATGTCACCCGAGGTGTACTGCAGAACAGAACATGACCCTATAGAGGTGTGCACGTCAACGAGGTGTACTTCATAAAAAAACATGTCCCAATACAGGTGTGCACGTCACCCGAGGTGTACTGCAGAACAAAACATGTCCCCAAACAGATGTGCAAGACACCGGTCGTGTACTGCAGAACAAAACATGTCCCTATAGAGGCGTGCAAGACACCCGAGGTGTACTGCAGAACAAAACATGTCCCTATACAGGTGTGCACGTCACCCGAGGTGTACTGCAGAACAAAACATGTCCCTATAGAGCCGTGCACGTCACCCGAGGTGTACTGCAGAACAAAACATGTCCCTATTGAGGTGTGCACGTCACCCGAGGTGTACTGCAGAACAAAACATGTCCCTATACAGGTGTGCACGTCATCCGAGGTGTACTGCAGAACAAAACATGTCCCTATACAGGTGTGCACGTCACCCGAGGTGTACTGCAGAACAGAACATGACCCTATAGATGTGTGCACGTCACCCGAGGTGTACTTCATAAAAAAAACATGTCCCTATACAGGTGTGCACGTCACCCGAGGTGTACTGCAGAACAAAACATGTCCCTATACAGGTGTCCAGGTCACCAGCTGAGCATTGCAGAACAAAACATGTCCCTATACAGGTGTCCAGGTCAACCGCCGTGAACTGCAGAACAAAACATGTCCCTATAGAGTCGTGCACGTCACCCGAGGTGTACTGCAGAACAAAACATGTCCCTATAGAGGCGTGCACGTCACCCGAGGTGTACTGCAGAACAAAACATGTCCCTATAGAGGTGTGCACGTCACCCGAGGTGTACTGCAGAACAAAACATGTCCCTATACAGGTGTGCACGTCACCCGAGGTGTACTGCAGAACAAAACATGTCCCTATTGAGGTGTGCATGTCACCCGAGGTGTACTGTAGAACAAAACATGTCCCTATACAGGTGTGCCCGTCAACCGAGGTGTACTGCAGAACAAAACATGTCCCTATCGAGGTGTGCACGTCACCCGAGGTGTACTGCAGAACCAAACATGTCCCTATACAGGTGTGCACGTCACCCGAGGTGTACTGCAGAACAAAACATGACCCTATAGAGGTGTGCACGTCAACGAGGTGTACTTCATAAAAAAACATGTCCCAATACAGGTGTGCACGTCACCCGAGGTGTACTGCAGAACAAAACATGTCCCCAAACAGATGTGCAAGACACCCGAGGTGTACTGCAGAACAAAACATGTCCCTATACAGGTGTGCACGTCACCCGAGGTGTACTGCAGAACAAAACATGTCCCTATAGAGGTGTGCACGTCACCCGAGGTGTACTGCAGAACAAAACATGTCCCTATACAGGTGTGCACGTCACCCGAGGTGTACTGCAGAACAAAACATGTCCCTATACAGGTGTGCACGTCACCCGAGGTGTACTGCAGAACAAAACATGTCCCTATAGAGGTGTGCACGTCACCCGAGGTGTACTGCAAAACAGAACATGACCCTATAGATGTGTGCACGTCACCCGAGGTGTACTTCATAAAAAAAACATGTCCCTATACAGGTGTGCACGTCACCCGAGGTGTGCTGCAGAACAAAACATGTCCCTATACAGGTGCCCAGGTCACCAGCTGAGCATTGCAGAACAAAACATGTCCCTATACAGGTGTCCAGGTCAACCGCCGTGAACTGCAGAACAAAACATGTACCTATAGAGTCGTGCACGTCACCCGAGGTGTACTGCAGAACAAAACATGTCCCTATAGAGGCGTGCACGTCACCCGAGGTGAACTGCAGAACAAAACATGTCCCTATAGAGGTGTGCACGTCACCCGAGGTGTGCTGCAGAACAAAACATGTCCCTATAGAGGTGTGCACGTCACCCGAGGTGTACTGCAGAACAAAACATGTCCCTATAGAGGTGTGCACGTCACCCGAGGTGTACTGCAGAACAAAACATGTCCCCATACAGATGTGCAAGGCACCGGTCGTGTACTGCAGAACAAACATGTCCCTATACAGGTGTGCACGTCACCCGAGGTGTACTTCAGAACAAAACATGTCCCTATAGAGGCGTGCACGTCACCCGAGGTGTACTTCAGAACAAAACATGTCCCTATAGAGGCGTGCACGTCACCCGAGGTGAACTGCAGAACCAAACATGTCCCTATAGAGGTGTGCACGTCACCCGAGGTGTGCTGCAGAACAAAACAGGTCCCTATAGAGATGTGCACGTCACCCGAGTTGTACTGCAGAAGAAAACAGGTTCCTTTTAGAGGCGTGCACGTCACCCGAGGTGTACTGCAGAACAAAACATGTCCCTATACAGGTGTGCACGTCACCCGAGGTGTACTGTAGAACAAAACATGTCCCTATACAGGTGTCCATGTCAACCGCCGTGAACTGCAGAACAAAACATGTCCCTATAGAGGTGTGCACGTCACCCGAGGTGTACTGTAGAACAAAATATGTCCCTATAGAGGCGTGCACGTCACCCGAGTTGTACTGCAGAACAAACATGTCCCTATACAGGTGTGCACGTCACCCGAGGTGTACTGTAGAACAAAAACATGTCCCCATACAGGTGTGCAAGGCACCGGTCGTGTACTGCAGAACAAACATGTCCCTATACAGGTGTGCACGTCACCCGAGGTGTCCTGCAGAACAAAACATGTCCCTATACAGATGTGCAAGGCACCGGTCGTGTACTGCAGAACAAACATGTCCCTATACAGGTGTGCACGTCACCCGAGGTGTACTTCAGAACAAAACATGTCCCTATAGAGACGTGCACGTCACCCGAGGTGTACTTCAGAACAAAACATGTCCCTATAGAGGCGTGCACGTCACCCGAGGTGAACTGCAGAACAAAACATGTATCTATACAGGTGTCCAGGTCAACCGCCGTGAACTGCAGAACAAAACATGTCCCTATAGAGTCGTGCACGTCACCCGAGGTGTACTTCAGAACAAAACATGTCCCTATAGAGGCGTGCACGTCACCCGAGGTGAACTGCAGAACAAAACATGTCCCTATAGAGGTGTGCACGTCACCCGAGGTGTGCTGCAGAACAAAACAGGTCCCTATAGAGGCGTGCGAGTGACCCGAGTTGTACTGCAGAACAAAACAGGTCCCTATAGAGGCGTGCACGTCACCCGAGGTGTACTGCAGAACAAAACATGTCCCTATACAGGTGTGCACGTCACCCGAGGTGTACTGTAGAACTAAACATGTCCCTATACAGGTGTCCATGTCAACCGCCGTGAACTGCAGAACAAAACATGTCCCTATAGAGGCGTGCACGTCACCCGAGGTGTACTGCAGAACAAAATATGTCCCTATAGAGGCGTGCACGTCACCCGAGTTGTACTGCAGAACAAACATGTCCCTATACAGGTGTGCACGTCACCCGAGGTGTACTGTAGAACAAAAACATGTCCCCATACAGGTGTGCAAGGCACCGGTCGTGTACTGCAGAACAAACATGTCCCTATACAGGTGTGCACGTCACCCGAGGTGTACTGAAGAACAAAACATGTCCCCATACAGATGTGCAAGGCACCGGTCGTGTACTGCAGAACAAACATGTCCCTATACAGGTGTGCACGTCACCCGAGGTGTACTGCAAAACAAAACATGTCCCCATACAGATGTGCAAGACACCGGTCGTGTACTGCAGAACAAAACATATCCCTGTAGAGGTGTGCACGTCACCCGAGGTGTACTGCAGAACAAAACATGTCCCTATACACGTGTCTAGGTCACCCGCTGAGAATTGTAGAACAAAATTTGTCCCTATACAGGTGTCAAGGTCACCCGCTGAGCACTGCAGAATAAAACAAAATAATGCGGTTGTCCGTGCACGTCAGTAGAAAAAAATCTTTATATAGGATGGCTTTAAGCGACACTTATATATCGATAAATATGAAGGCATAAAGGCCACAATTTTGCATTTTGTAGTAGACATTCTTTTGCACATGGCCAAATATTGAAAGGCACTTTCAATATTGTACCCATCTTGGGGAAATGGTCAATAACCTACAACCAATGTATGCATCGACATACTTGTAACTGAAAGGGGTGTGTAAATCTTGGGTAATTGGAATCTTGTCGATGCGGCCTAAATTAATATAGACCCACTTACTCTGTAGCTTTATCAAAAGGCTGTTGAAATATTTTTATTTATTTACTTTAAAAGGAAAGTGAGCACATAGTGTAAGGGACCATTTCTCATGAAATTCAAACTACTGACCTAGAACATCGTCACAGTATTGTCCCGTGTATTCCGGCGTACAAAGACAGGTGTAGCTCGCGACGCCGTCCACGCACGTAGCGTTGTTTGCACACACGTTACCGCCACAGTCGTCCATGTTGACGTCGCAGTTCACCCCGGTGTAGCCCTCACTACACGTGCACCTGTAGCCGCCTAGCTGATCCGTGCAATCGCCATGGACACATGGACCAGAGGTGCATTCGTCACTGTCTGAAGAGAAAACCATGACGTTGTTCAAGAAATACTAAACACACCGTAATGGTCGCTCCCGTATTTTGAACCCTTTATATTCACACCATCTTCTATCAAAATGACATAACATCATAAGCTTCACCACTGCATATAGTAGGAATCATATTCCTTTACCATATTTCATCTAGCAACTTCATCTGTAGTAAGCCTAATTTCCGTTTAATAGATTTTAGTTTAATGACTTCTGTTGTGCATAAGTCGTACCATCACACTCGCTGGGTATCTGCAGGAAGCTGTCCTTTAAATCAGCTTGACCAAATATTCGCCATGAAAGAATGTCTCCACCGTCACGGCTGAAACACTTATGAGGGTTGTCGACATTGCTTCCGGACCAAAGGTTCATCTGTGAGATGCTCCCGACGAACCCTTCCCCTGTTACACAGGAATGATTTTTGTGTTAAACTTGTGCACCCAATTCTACTTAACTCGACCTATTAACGTTTCTTAATACACATATGTCATGTTGTGCCATGTTTGGTTTTTGGGTATTCGATGTGTACAGTTACCCACGATTATTTATATACCTGTACGTTTATATGACAACAAATCTCACTTTAGTATACAATCTTGGAAGTGACATTGTCGCGTTGTTGTCCATACAGAAAAGAGCAAATAGTAGCAAAATTGAAAACAGCTGGACAAGTACTTAAAGTGTTGTCGTTTATGTAAAGGTTGATGTATTAATAATAAAGACATCACAAAAAACATTATTATGAAGTTTGTTCATAGTAATTATTTTTGAAGGGCAATAAGGCGACAATAACACTTCTTAGATTCCATACATTATATAAACAACAATGAAAGATTTCTTTCACATTACGTTATATCATGTAAAGTATGTAAAGTAAAGTAAAAGTATAAGTATTATGTCGTCATAGGCACACACTACATAAGTTTCAATCAAGTATATGATATTTACGATAGAATACACTCGGCAAATAATCTACGTATAATTGTAATGATGTAATTGTTACAGATTTGGCGAAGTAACGCCATATAATAAATGATAGTTGTCCATACCACCAGCGGTGAAAACCAGTGACTCGTTGATGGTCATGAGCTCTGTATGTATATACCCTGACGTCCTTCCACGAACACCGTCTGTGTGGGCTTCAACTGCGCCAAGTGTGACCACGACGGTGTGCTGGTGCCATCTTGTATCGTTTAGGAGGACCGCTGACTCGATGATGCCACTTCTATATGCAAGTATAAAACTGTAAATAGTTTACTCTTTTTCTGGAATTTGCAACGTACAATTTCGAACAAACAATAACTTTTGATTTCGACGTTAATAATAGAAAATAAGAAAATAGTAAATTTACAAGTGGCTTTAGGGCACTGAAAAAGCAATTGATGATGTACCCTTGTGAAGAAGTCTTAAGCTGATAGTCTTCCAACCGAATTGACATCAAGTCTTTCCCCTCCGATGTGACCGTAAGGACATGACCTTCACCTTTGGCTGCCTTCAGCCATAGGGTTAAAGTGATATTGTCTACATCCATCTTCTCTCTAACAGATATCTCAACTTCCGCAGTAGAGTTTTCGCTCTCTATAAACTCAACATCAAATTCTACAACAGAATATAGGTATCTTTAACCTTTTCAGAATAGATCAATTAGAACAGATGCCTACCTATACAGAGTGCACAAGTATCTGGGATTACGTAAAAGCCATCCTAAAATAATAATAAACGCATTTCAACATAGAAATAAGTTGAGGATGAAGCTATTGGTACGAACGCATTTTGCCGGACACCTTCCGGCATGTTTGGAAGGGATGTGCGGGAAGAAAATGTAATTTGTAGTTACCAAAGTTTATGAAAAATACCAAGTTTCTGATGAAACGTGTCTCTCATGGATGTCAATGATGGGGTTACCGCATTCCTTTATGGAACTTCTAATTACGACTATTTTTCAATTTTCAATTTTGAGGTTTAATAATGTTTAACCAGACTGAAAAGCAGTGGCGGATAGGTGTCCGTTAAAATGTATGAGTAGCAAGCTATTTTACCATAAAGACCAAATTAATATTTTACCCTGGCATTTGTCAACTGACTCTGCTTCTTGGTTCAAGGTAGTCCTTCCACCGGGACACTCCAGACATGACCTGCTTCCCCATCTCTCCTGATACTGGCCGATGTCACACAGACTGCAGGGCTCCACTCCGCTCGCAGAGAACATGCCCGGCTTACACATAGCTGGCAACATGGAAGCGAATTGTGAGCACCTGCTGAATCAATGTCATTGTACAGATGACATTTTAAGAATTGACTTTTTTCATGAATAGTATTTTTAATTTTGCTTCGGAATACCCACAAATCATATGCCCGAGAAAGCTTCGCAAGTGAAGTAAATACAGCAATTGAAGTAAATACATAATGTCAGACCCGTGAAGATCCGGGTTAGAATAGGTCTTCAGCAACCCATGCTTGCCGTAAAAGGCGACTATGCTTGTCGTAAGAGGCGACTAAGGGGTTCGGGTGGTCAGGCTCGCTAACTTTGTTGATGTATGTCATCGTATCCCAATTGCATAGATAGATGCTCATGACATCAGTCACTGGATTGTGTGGTCCTGACTAGATTATTTACAGACCGCCGTCTTACAGCTGGAATATTGCTGGGGACGACGTAAAGCAACACACAACAAGAACGTCAACTCCAGACAATAACAAGTCTTGATTATCCACCGAAACATATCATTGGGCGTAAAATCTAAAATAGATGTAAATATAGTTCAATTTCAAGTTCAATATGATCAATGAGTTATAACCACAAAGGTTGTTCAAAAGCAAATCAAGTGCGGGAAATGACACGTAAAAGTTAATTGATAGTTTGCTACTCTGTCAGAGAGTCAGAATTTCTCAATCCTGCGTGGCCAAAGACACTCCACCCTACTATTACCTTCACAGTGCGTTGTAGACGTTGCTCCTGTTGCCACTGTGGTCGTGTGGGTGGGACAAGGACTGCATCTTGTCTGTCCAGCACTGTCTGCATACTGACCAACTGGACATTGTGTACATTCGGCTGTATCGGCGTTGAAGTAACTGCCTCGGACACAGCCCACTGCAGACAGTAGGATATTCATATATACACTGAAAACGAGAAGCGGTTATGAAACATGCCATAAAAAATCTTCAATAGAAATATTTCAAAATTGGCAGGGTTATAGCAAAAGTTAAACAGCATTTTATTAATTTCATGTAGGATTGAAGGTCACATTGGCGTTTAAAAGTCAACACAAATGTTGCTTTTTTAATCATATTCAGGAACGGACATGAACTCTGGAAGAGGCTGCATTTTTTGGTTAGAAAACGGGATATTTGCCGGTTACTGTGAAAGGTAAAGCCGAACAATTTAAGTTTTTATACCTTGTGTTTGGTATATGCCTCAGCATGAAATTTAAGTCAACTTATATAAAAACAAAACCCGGGAAAATCATATAGGTGAATGGCGTCTTGCGCATTGAAAATTGGTTTATTAATATTATTGTTGTTGTTACTTTTAAAAGTGTTCACTTGCCATAAAGCAACTTTGTGGCATAGCATACTCACCACATCCATATGTTCTGTATGAGGGGAATGTACCAAGAGGACAATCAAGACTCAAATGGTCACTGGTCACTCCTACTGTGTTAACAGGTTTGATCGAGGCGGGAATTAATGCCGAGGAGTTACTGTTTACGTCAGTTCTTATCGCCTGCAGCAGGATCTGCATGTTTGAGTTGGCATCTTCAAACTGTGCTTCATTCAAACGTGACGGATCCAGTGGTGATACAATGTTGGCATGAATGTGATATTCCTTTCGATGAGTCTCGTTGACGCTGCGCTTTACGTTAATAGCTCCACACGTAACCTGTATGATGTCGAAGGTTTGGATGTATAAAAGTCTTATTGAAAAATTCTATTCAAGAGGGTGGGAAAACATTTTCTATTATTATATTGAAAATAGTACAAAATGGTGCAACTTTGAGGAAAAGGTGCATGACATGGGCATCAGATTTTCATACAGCGAAACCTTGTTATTTCGGACGGTAACGTTCCCAATCAATATTCCGGTTTAACAAATTTGCGGATTAAAGACTCAAGCGTAGTGTGTGATGTTCCTTATTATTTATGTATACGTGCCGAGCGATATCGTCCGAAAGGTGGACTTTCCGGATTAACGGGATCCGGACTAAACAGGTTTCACTGAATATGGGTTTGTGGCTGGACTGGTCAGTAATTGGGAAGAATGAAATTATATATAGACATTTAAGATTTTGTAATTAGTGTAATTTAGCTCTTATTAAAGATGCATATCCTGTTTATATGCCATACATATGATAATCTATGAAGTAGATACTTACAAAAACAGTTTCGTTTTATGTAAATCCAAGAATCCACAAATTTGTCTCTCTAATATTTTCAGTTAACATTGATGTTATACGAAATTTGTCTATGTATATTTATCATGCTATGTCTGTTTGAAAAAAAGTTTATGTTGTATACAACCGCTTCCTAAATAGTGTATACCATGGGTCTGTGGCCTTACTGTTTTCTATGAATAAATTATCTATCTATCTAAAAAAGGTATCAAACCTGGACGTCGTCAGCCCGACAGTTGGACTTGTCACAGGCCTCCTTGAAAAGGCTGGCTTTGAAAGCAGTTACAAAATTCAGTTTGATTACATCCATGGTAGCTGGATTTGGACATTCTCCATCAAAGTACCAATGAATGCCCATGCGCAGTGTCGCTGATCCGGGATGTCTTACCTCTGACAAAGAATATGTAACATCTTGATACATAACATTAATACATCAGACCTAGCCCAGGGACATGAGGGACCCACCGGCCTTCAGGTATGGAGTTTCGGGTATGTATAGCTAGATGTCGACATGCCTGACTATTTATAGCTGATGGCGACACAAGAATATATTCAACTCAAAATATCGTCTTTATTTTTAAATGACATGAATATGGAAATGATTGTGTCGCTTTTATTTTTTGCAAATACAATAGGTTCTGGTGTGTCTAATACTTATACTTTCTATAAAGTTTGTTTGTTATACTTTGAGTAGAATACCGTAATACACCTTCATACCGTCAACAACATATATGTTAAGTCGTTAATCATTTAATGCCGTGTACACATGGACGTTAGGTGAGACTCCTGTGTATCTTGGTTTTCATTTGCAACTACACGGTACTTATTTGGTTCGCGAAGAGACCAATTTCCCAAAACTTTCTTCCAACTGAGCTTATCGTCTAAATAATAACGTATACAACTGGTGTGTATGTAGTGATGGGTGTTAGTTTTGAAGAATGGAAGAATCATACATGAACGTTTAACCCATGAAACATTGGAACAAGGTTAAGCAATGAAAGTTAAGCCAAGTTCAATACTTGCGCAGTCTGGTATGCTTCCTGAGAAATCCCATGAACCCGACGTTCCACACACGAAGAGTTTCTTGTACAGGAATGTTGGTGGGATATCTGTACCCGTCATACACTGCATCTGACAGTACTTGCCTCCCTCCCACAGATCACAGGCCAGGGCACCGTTACCGGGTGGGGCCAGTTGGGGGCAGGTTCTGGATACTTCATACACATGGAATATTTACGTTTATAGCTGTCAAAGACAGTTGACAGGTTAAGGAGTGAACTTGAATGTTGGATTCGAGAGATTCCTAATTGTAGAATTGAAAGAGACAAATATAACCAATGAACTGCAACGTGAAAAAATTCAGAAGACAATTAAACTAGTTTTTACCTATCCGAAAAAAAAACAAAAGCCACAAAACAACAACAACAACAAAACCGAAAAAAACAACCCACCAAAACAAGAACAAAACAAAACAAAAACAAAACAACTTTTTTATTAGTACAGTGGTCACGGAAGATGACAACAAAGCATCGCTAAGTGACAGCTATTTATATCTAGAAATTAATAATTTTGAAATATAGTACCGAAACATTTTTAATTATAAGTGATTACAATACATACGGTTTTCAGTTCATAAATTCATTTTAACCCCCATTCCATTTGTTTTCTATATAGGATCTTGCAGTTCACCCGAGAAAAGACTCAACTCAAGTACTTGCAGAAACATCTCACTGTCACCTTTAGGAGCCCCAGAAATCATTTCACACCATGTCATTGCTTAAAGCTACCAAGTAACCCTCTCCTTATTGTATTACACATGTTGTTATCTTAGTGAATCTGCATATGTAATATGATGGCCTGCTCGACAAAGATGTTTTTTTATTTATTGTATAATTATTTATATGTTGTTGAAATGAATTTGTACTTCTGATGTCGCTAACAGTGGTCTGGGTGTAATATATAAGTTCAAAAGTCCTATTTAGTTCAGTTAAACAATCACTGTTTTATACTCACAGTGGCAGACTGGTTGCCTGTTCGTCCATGCCACATACTTGGCGTCTTTCCCTGGTTTCTCACACCTCGTGTGATCTGGTCCCCCGAGCAGGCTGTACCCTGACTGACAGGTGAAGTTACACCGCGCCCCGTATCTGTGGCCATGGGGACAGTCCACTCGCATGTAGGGATGGGCGTATTGGGCCGGACACTTCAGTTCTGAAATTGTTTGAAAGGGCCAAACGCTTTTTGTCCGTTCCATCCAGTAATAAACGAAAGTCGTGTCGTGAATCTACCAGAGAATATTGTAAGTATTTTGACCTGATGAGCGTGATTTAACATTAAGGCGAGACTTTATACAAAGTGATTAGGGATACCACCGATCCTTAAAAATGGAAAGCAATTTAAAAATGAAAACTACCATTGGTTTATTCCTCTGAATGCAAACGACTGTTTACCACAAAAGATGGTACAATAGGTTTTTGTACACACATTTGTCCTCAAATAAAGAGTAATGTGTTTTTAGCGGGGAGACTGTAGAAAAATATACTAGTTTATAGACTCCCTGCTCTTAGTGTACCTTAGATCACATTATCGTGTAGCAACCTTACTTTGCTCAGTATTACCTCTTATGACGACCTTGAAGCTACACTGTTGCCCCTTGTTACCCTGGGCGTCTGTGGCTGTGTACACAACTGAGTATACCCCCGCAGCCTCGAACCCATTGTTGGACAGTTTGCTAACAGGTGTCACTGTGACCTTGTTACTGTTATCACTTGCCGTTGGTTCCGCCCAGTCAACGAAGCCGTTTTTTGACCCTTGCTCCGTGAAGAACAGCTGGTAGCTTGGACAGGTTGTGAATCTGGGCGGTTCTGTGTCTGCGGGTAGACTTTATTATATAACAGATCGTATGTTATGGAAGGTCGAAGGAGCTGATTATGAATTATAAGAATAACATTCTACAAAATGTATCATGTAACATATTATTGCCAAACATTGTTTGTAGATTCCCAATGAGGCTACATAAAAATCTTGTGTGATTATATAACGTTGAAGATAATAACTTGATTACTAAAACAAAACATGTACAAAAAGGTAAACAAAATAATGACGATAGTGATGTAAATGTATCTTATCATGAAATGACCCACCTAACACGTTATGATAAAATGACCTAGAGCATTTTTATTGCATGCAATCACCTAGATGTTGGTTGGTTGGTTTGTTGTTTAACGCCGCACTCAGCAATATTCCAGCTATATGACGGCGGTCTGTAAATAATCGAGTCTGGACCAGACAATCCTGTGATTAATATCATAAGCATCGATCCACGCAATTGAGATCGATGACATTCATCAACCAAGTCAGCGAGCCTGACCACCCGATCCCGTTAGTCGCCTTTTACGACAAGCATAGTCAACTTTTCGGAAAGCATGGGTTGCTGAAGACCTATTCTAACCCGGAATCTTCACGGGTCCCTAGATGTTGGATGCCTTAAAGATTGATAACGTGAATAATTACCAATGCACACTGGATTTGTCCCACGCCAAGTTTTCTGAGCAGTGCACACTCTAAGACGGGTCATGCCTGGCTTAACGTCATATCCGGGGCGACACTCATAAGTACACGTGCTTTTGAAGTACGCCTTATCAGAACACTTGACGTCAACATTTGCCACAGGTTCTAAAGATGGACATGTTACTCCTGAAACAATTGTGCATACATGTATACATTGCTAACTGTATTCTCTTTTAGAAGTATAGTCAACGTAACAATGGTATGTTATGAAAAACAGCCTACTCTTTGAGAGCATGTTTTGGATATGGCTAAGGGTTTGTGCAAGCAGACTTCAGTAACTTTACTTTCACAAGTTGGTTCAGGTTCCGACCATCTGCCATTGTCCCCTTGTGGTTCGCATGTCCGGACACTGTGTCCGTGTATCTCATACCCGCTGTAACAGCTGTAGGTGCACCGTGTACCCTGAACGAAGTCCGAGCTTGGATGACACACGTAGTACCCGTTGGGGAACACCTTGCTTGGACCAGGGCTGCATCGAACCACTGAGCACAAAAGTCTGTTATGTCACAAACATTTTATATTTTCACATGTCGGTTTTACGGCAAATATATACAATTGTAACAGATGAAAGAATCAGTATTCTATGCTTATGGATGCTGCATCGGAGTATTAGGTACGATAACATCTTCTTCACGTCATTTCATATCAAACTGTACTGTCCGGTACAAAATGGTGGTATCTTAGTTATCATGTAACGTAAGTCATGTCATTAAACAGATATAAGGCAAAACCCTACCCCGTACGTAGACATAGAATGACATTCGGTTTTCATTTCCTGATCTGTCCTTAGCGGAATAGACTACTCTTGTTCCGCCTTCTCCGAACGTGTAGCCAGGGCCAGGGCCGTATCGATGTACACTGTTGGTACGAAAGGAGAGCTGATTTGTCGTATATATGACAGATATATACAAAGGGGTGGTGGAAGGGTGTGTGTGTGTGGGTCGTTCTCTAAATAAAGTATATTGTCCCCGAAGTTTTAAAAAAAAAATGCTTAGGACTGTGGAAATACAATGAATTGTCTGCTTCAAAAAATGTCTTCCTTAAAAAATATTCAGGCTTATAGTTTGGAATAAGAAAATATTCTCAACCAAAGAAAAAGAAATTATGCTGTGATAGCGACTGTCTGCGTCATATCATCCAAATATAGAGTACCCCAGAAAATTAAGATACATTTTAGGGCAAACGTAATGCAAAATATGGTAATTTGTCGCGTTACGTGTAGAAGAACAATTACCACATAAGTATATGTGTTGCTAATTTCACGATATATCTTATAGAAATGCAAACATGAGCATTATATGAAAGGGACCCTACCCCACAGTTCCATCTCTGTCATCCGTGGCCGTGGGCTCCTTCCAGGTGACACCGCGTTTGTTGGTCTGTATTGGGTCAGCCGTTTTGTGAAGATCGGGCAATATCGAATTAAAAACAGGCTTTTGGTTATCTGCAAATGTATAGAGAATAAATAGAGAAAGGGTTTGAATGAAAAAAATGTGGTGGTTTGGTCAGGCTCGGTAACTTGACTGACTGATGTTACACTACACCAGTGGAGTGGATCGTTCTCATGATTTTAGTGGACCGCCTCCGTGGTCTAGCGGCAGAAGAGCGTCTGCCCGGAGAACGGAAAGTCCCCGGCCGCCTCATACCAAACGACGTTAAACGATGGTTCTTGTTGTTACCCGGCCTGGCGCTCGTCATTAAAACAAGGACTGCTTGGCTCGGAGTCAGTATATTGTCTGAGCGGGGTATTCATGTTAAACCGCTGCATGGTATCTCAGTGGGCTAACACTATACAATCGGCAATAGTCCGGACTAGTACAAGCAGCCACCAACACGAGCAAGCACGTCGCTATATAAGCGCAATAATCTTGAAAGCGTCATAAAACCCCATTTCACCTCACCTCACCTCATGATTTTGGTCACTGGTTGCCTTGCTTCAGGCTCGACCATTTACAGGCCGCCGTGATATAGCCGGAATATTGCTGACTTTGGCGTTTATCAGCATCAACTAAAATATGTTACATATAGTATCGTACCTCTTGGTCGACTTCGGCAAAATACCATGCCTGCAATATTTCCTAGCACAGCAGCAAGTAGGAAACCAAGAAAGCGTTTTTCCTTTGGTGCCACTTCTTTCTGCAAAAACTTGCTTGTTACCCCTACAACATGTCAGATATACCATACATTATATTTGCAGAACTAATAAAACATTTAACCGAGAAATCGCTGGACAGGTAACTTCAAGCCCATTTCACTGTTTATTCTACGTTAGTGCAATGTGTGCATAATGCAATTTGCTTTTTGTAGACTTGTAGACTTATCAAATTTAGACATGAAATAAGGAGTGCAAACCTCACGACTGTTATTTTAGTTATTATTTGTGTCAAATGTCAATTTACTTGCGTGTAACAATGCCTAAGGAATGGGTGGTAGATGATTCAATAATGACAGGCAGGTTGTAGTTGGTTAACTAAAAATACAGATGTTTTCCAGCTCCCTTAATTTTCTACATATCAGGGTTTCAGTGTAGTTTAAATCAAGAATATGTTATTCATACTGATGATATATTAATGTCAGTCGTATATTACGACCTTAAACTCCATTGAATTAAAGGATGCAAAATAATAAACCAATAGGTAATCAACTGGTAGGCTGTTGATGCAGTTGACAGCTCTCATGATCTCACCATTTTCTACCTTTATGAAACATCAACAGGCTGTTTGAAGTTCATGGTACATTTATTGTAAAAGTCAAAAGCAATTTCATGGTACAAAAAGCAATCAAACACACAGATAAAAAAGCTTCTGAAAGCTTTCACAGCACCTCGATAATGGCATCAATATCTTGGGTGGCATATATATCTCGATACACTACATTCGACCATCATGATTGAAAAAGTTGAGCGTTCTTGCAGTGTGTACAATTCCTCTCCCTCTGTTCTTTTGATAACCTTGGCCCTTTTGTCGAGTGCTTTTATGAGTTGTGGATGTTTTTGGTTGGGTCCCAACCGTGTGCTTTTTTACACCATCTGTACATTTTTATCTCTTGTTATCGTAAAATTCAGTTTAATTCGAAATTCACGACAAATCGTTCACCTCAAAATGCAAGGACTTCTCACAGTTGAGTGTGTTTGGACAATCGTTTTCAACCTGAATTCAGTTTTCTTTAGCCAATGGATTAAAAACTATTATCAGTCTAACAACGTATACAAACCAGGTGAATATCACGTACCTTGCTTCATATTGATTCACTCCCGTATAATGAAATACTAGTACCCGATTGACGTGTTGCATGTTCCCCTAATCTCACCCTTTGGCTCCTCGATATCTTACCTCTCTGACATGCCAACTCCCATTCTCCATCTACACATGTCGCAGTTCCTCGGTCATCAGGCGTTTGGCACACTACGTCACACTTAGTGCCTGGTTCCAGCAGCTGTGTCCGGTTGTGAGGCAACAGTACTGTGCCATTGTTTAAGTTGCAGGACTCCAAGGCAGGATCTAGGTCAGAGTGCCACGGACATGGCTGAAACTAAGCAAATAGGCACATCACCCCATCTCCGTACACAGTCAGCATGTCTTAACAAGAGGTGTGGTTGTTTTGTTATGCAAACATCTGGAATCCAAGGGACAAGTACATCAAATTACAAGCGATGTATGATGGCACTCAGAAGTCATTGACTTCCAATCCAGACTATGCTTTTTAAAGTATTTTGAATAAGTCATACTGTCCGTAACAGTTGTTTTGTGTGACACTTTAGAGGTTGCATGATTAGAAAACATATTCCGTTACGTAACATAACAATATTAATATTTCATTTTTCATTTTTTGTATTTCAAAGTGTTTGTATTTATCGTGTAGTTATCCGAATTTCGATAACGAACGTCGATATAACTAAATTTCGTTTATCCGATACACTCGTCAATCCGACTTAATCATATGCAACGGGACCTGACTGTATGTGGTTCCCTGAAATTTTAAAAATTCCGCGCATCAAATACTCCATAACATATGATGTTTATCGATAAACAACGGATCAGGTCAAATGTGTCCATGACGATTAAACCCGCCAGAACCCGAACAGAACGCGAAGAGGCCATCGAAATCGAATCAAACCTAAAATATCTTTTTCAATATCGCCAAACCGAATGTCAAGTCTTTCAAATCTAGGATTGATTGAAAAAGTATTTTAAGAAGAAAAGCATTCTTACGCAGTGATAAGGCAAGAAGATTAACTAGCTTGAATTTTACTGATTAAGTACATCTATAGGTAGTGCGAGTATTTACACATAATCCCTTCATTACATGAGCATTGCATCTATCCATATCTAGTCGTCAACGCAAGTGTACGTATTCTTGTATTGTACATAAAGATGGAATGTTTAATCTTTTATCGTACCTTGAAGTCTGGGATTTCTCTGTGTGTTGCGCCCGAGAGCACAAATACCAGAAACAGCGGATAAACTTTGTTAAACATCTCCCTCCTCGGCCTCGAAACCTTCTGTGTGCCACAAGTGCTATTGACACATACGTCATTACATCTAGTGTTACCTGATTGACCGTCTCAAGCTGTCAGTCACTGAGGACCGCAGCCAATGGGGTTGAAAGTTGGCAGCGTTTCAAAAGATTCGTCATAGTCATAGCATTGCCAAAGTTTGCAAAACAGCAGCTAATGTTAGGTCAAACTGCAATCGTTTATACTCCAGAATTAATGGCGTTGAACAATAACTACCCTGACCATAGTGTCTTTTCGGATCGTCCATGCAATAATTCAGTTTAGTCCCTTTTATTAAGTGTGATAAAAGGAGTGAGTGAGTTAGGTTTTACGCCGCTTTTAGCAATATTCCAGCAATATCACGGCGGGGGACACCAGAAATGGGCTTTACACATTGTACCCATGTCGTGATTCGAACCCGGGTCTTCGGCGTGAAGAGCGAACGCTTTAACCAATAGGCTATCCGACCGCCCCTGTAATAAAAGGAGGGACGTTTGACCTGGCATGACCAAAAGGCAGCGGTCTAAAGGGCCGAAGCGTACAACTTCACAAACATTTTATATGTTTCCTTGGCTAGACATTCGGCTAATATAACGTAGCTATATCCTTCAAATAATCTGTTTTATATCAGTGGGCGATCTAGTTTGGTTTGCTTTAGTTTGTTGTTTAACGCCGCACTCAGCAATATTCCAGCTATATGACGGCGGTCTGAAGAATAATCGAGTCTTGACAATCCAGTGATTGATATCATGAGCATCGATCCACGCAATTGGGATCGATGGCATGCATCAACCAAGACAGCGAGCCTGACCACCCGATCCCGTTAGTCGCCTTTTACGAAAAGCATAGTCACCTTTTACGGCAAGCATGGGTTGCTGAAGACTTATTCTACCCCGGAATCTTCACGGGTCACTGGGCGATCTTAGAAGTGTTATTATCATGTAGTTTGCTATCATTAATACTAATACTCTTATTTCCTTGATTTGAGTTTAACATATTTTCTCGTCACAGAAATCGACATTTTCTTCCTTCACATGTGAGCATAATTCTGATTTGGATTATGATACCTTGATACTTGCTTGACTCGTAAAAAATACGAAAATTAACAAAATTCACGCTTATTATAAACAAAACAAGAACTAATCTTAAAGTCTGCTTCACAAGATTACAGTTGTACATGAGCATAGCATCGATTTACAATAAACAAAGCACACACCGGCTCTATCTCAAATTAGGGAACAAAAATAGAGGCTTTTTTCAAAGCTGTGCATTTATAGAACAGACTTAGGTTAAATGCGTAACTTTTAATGTTTGAGGTTTGATTGTTGAGGTGACTGACATGTTGTGCAAGTGTATTGTTAACTTTGTTTTGAATTGAGTACACTGAATACGACTGCGTGTGGTTGACAGCAAGGATTTGACAATGTGATCAATGCATTCTAAAACATTGCATTATCAGGTAGATCGATACATAACCATAGGATATACGTCAATTAATCATACAGATTGGTTTATCTAAAGATTGATGTGTCACCGTGTGTACCAGGAAGTTGTACTCGTGAAGGAACAAACTAATCCGTTTTGATTTTCTCTTAATAGGTTTGTTGTCATTACCTCTAACTGAGATAAGTACATTGCACTGGATAAAGGTAATCCAGCTTAGTACCATACTGGCTGTAATGTGAAATATTTTAGAAAGCATTATGAAAATTACCTGAAATAATGTTTTTGTCCCATTTCATAAGAAATCCTTCCAGATCGATGCTCATGATGTCAATCACTAGATTTTCTGGTCCAGACTCGACTACTGACAGACCGCCGTCATATAGCTGGAATATTGCTAAGTGCGGCGTTAAACAACTCTCAAACAAACAAGCAAACAAACAAACAAAATATGAAGACGCACTGTAGATAGGTAGGGATAAAAGGACAGTGTAAATTATCTAGATATTAGTAAATGCACATTGTAAATTATCTAGTTAAAGTACTTTAGAAATGCTAGAAAATTGTTTTCTGGCTTCATTTAATAAATACCTATCAAAGGGCTATGAAATTAGCCTATATCGAAATAACACAAATCTACCTAATCTATCCTATCCTAACTGAAACAGTGATTAGCATTAAAACTATGTTTTCATGCATATATGAAACGAGGTGATGATCGCACACAAGCCCGTGCATTCTCACATGTGCAACTGTCCCCCGAGCTGTCACCATAGTAAAAATTACCATTGCTGTTATTGTACTTTATTGAGATATGCGTTGTAAAATATGTTCTGTATTATATTTGCTTGTGAAAATGATAGAATAGTTACAAATTATAAAGCGGGATGAGTATTGCAAGGTTGGGTTTTTTAATCAAGAAGTATTTGTTGTTGTACAGATAATTTCTTTAGCCAGCATCTGACTCAGCTGATGGCGTATCTGAACTGTACTCACCCAAAGGTATGACAACTGGTGTGATTCTAGCAAAGGCTGCGTTGATCAACCCTTTGACAAGTGCGAGAATATGTTTTTATGTTTGTTTTTTGTTTGTTTGTTGTTTAGCGCCCCACTCAGCAATATTCTAGCTATATGACGGCGGCCTGTAAATAATCGAGTATGGGCAAGACAATATGATGATTGAAGTCATGAGCATCAATCCAAGCAATTGGAGCAAGCCTGACCACCCGATCCCAATAGTCGCCTCTTACGACAAGCATAATCGCCTATTACGTCAAGCATGGGTTGCCGTTGACCTAGGACCTTCACGGTTCTTGCCCCTTGTATGACATGGCATATCGATCAGTTTCTTCAATTCTATGATAAAAGATTTTAGCATTGAACAGAACACTGGCCCATACAGCAAAACATATCTGTTATACATTTAATTATCATTAGAAAACATTTTGTGACAGGATATTAAACCTATTGACGATGCCTGCAAGAACAAGGTGGGGTGAAGTTACAGTATGTTGTTACAGTCTTGATACTGTGTGATACCTGATGAGGTGATGACATGCTGATGGAAATATTTCTGAAGATCATCCTGATGAAGGAAATCCACCTCTTGAAAACTTGCATATATATTTGAAGACTTTATATTTCGAAAACAACAATGAAAATCTCATTTATTTTGGTTTGTCAAAACTACCAAATTCAAACGATATACTTGGCAAGGAAATCACTTAAGATAATATATATCTGAATGTATAATAAACGCAAACCCTTGTACGATTCCGACTATATCGTAAGCATGTGTTAATGAATGACTTTCAAATAATGATGATACCAGGTGTTCGCGAAAAGGTGTGCGTATCCTGTCCCACTGGTGGCACCCGTCACGAACACATGCAAAGGCAAGTCAATTGTTCATCTGAAAACACAGAAAAAGGTCCTTGAATGTTGTAATCCTTGAATGTTTGGCAAGTCTAGATTACTGCAGTATTTGAAAATGAAGAAAGTCTCTGGGCTCCTTTTTTTCTATATTTTATAGCTATAATTTAACAACTGTTTTTTTGTGTAAAATATGTTCCTTTCAGAAACTAGATGTTAGTCTATGTACTTGGCTATGTGATCATTATTGGTTTGTTTGTTTGTTGTTTAACGCCGCACTAAGCAATATTGAATGATATTAACGAAAACTAACTACAGTTAACTCAGAAACTATCGTTGTCGATCTTAAAGTTTCGCAAAGTAACTTCTCATTGACATGTGAAATTGGTCGTTGGTCTAATCAATCTCATTAAAATCAGATCACTAAACAAAGCGATAGCGAGAACTAAGATCTGATTTAAATGAGATTGTTGGTCTAATGTACTTTTCCCAGACAGAATCCGTCATATTTGTAAAACAGGACCAATTGGTGAAGAATATAATGATTATCCTATTTTTTAGCCCAATTTTGTCCCTATAAATCTAAGCTTCTTTAAGCTCGAGTATATTTTTATTTATACTAAATTATTTTTTTTAACAAAACTAAGTAAGCTCATCATACGTATATCCAAAAAGTTAAATTGGGCTCCTAAATTGAAGTGCATATTTTGTTATAATGTATCATGTACAGCTATGAGTGGTTTTGATGAATAAAGAACTTGGGATGAAATAACCCTAGTGTCTGATGATTGTCGGCTTGAGTCTTTTTATGTGGATGGCTTCTGTTGTTTTCCTACAGGCTAGAGGCCAGGTCGTTGGAGCTGGTCCACCAGATCTGTTGGCTTGGGTTTTGCTGAATGTCATCTGAGATGGCGGATTTGTATTTTTGTGGTTAGGTTTGGTCATTGTTGTTGTTTTCTTTTTATAATTTTATCCTTTTAAATTGTTAGTTTCCAGATTTTTTTTGTCAAACCCCTTGCTATGACCATCGCCAAAAAACCGGTGTTAAATTACGGTGTCGTTTTCTTTTCTCTTGATTTCTTAGACCTTATCAGCGTCGTAATCTCTCTCAAACCTAACGTCGAGTTAGTTTACATAACCCAACCAACTGTTGACACATGTCAGGAAATCTGATGATTTAACGATCTTTATCAAACCTGTTTTATCGAAGTAACCCACTTCCAATCAGTATGTTGTTCAATGTTGATAGCAACATAATCCTTCACGACGTCATGTGTCAGTTGGAAAAAATGGTAAATGATCAATATGATATTAAACATATGACAAAATATAGCTTTTAGTTGAAAATATAAACCACTTTTCATTCATATAACCTGGAAACGGTTAAGTATATCTTAACAAGACTCTACGTTTCAGTATTAAAATATTTAACTTTCTTTCGAAACTAACGTAAATACTGTGGACAAAACTTTCTTTCCTCTGCCCAATAAAAAAATAGTCACAAATAAGGTAAATGATAAAGTGTTGCCTTTTAGCATTCTGAATGAAATGATTTTATTAATTGTGGCTCTTACGTTACGGAAACACGATCAAATTTAGAGATATTCGAATGGACTATGTTTCTGGAGTACACATCGATTTAGATTGTAGACTGCCTCCGCGGTCTAGTCTGGAGAGCGGAACGTCGGGGTTCGATCCCCGGCCACGTCATACCAAAAGACGTTAAAAGATGGTACATGTTGTTACCCTGTCTGTCGCTTTTCGTTAAGGGGCTAAACAACGACTGGTCGGCTCGGAGTCAGTATACTGTGTCTAAGTGGGGTATCCATGTGCGGCAAGGTATTATAGAGAGCTAGCACTATAAAATTGGCATTAGTCCGGACTAGTACAATCAGCTATATATACACACACGCGTGCATGCAATAATCCTGAACTCGAAGTTAAACGCAATTTCGCCTCACCTCACCTCTTTAGATTGTAATATTTTCAGTTTTATCAACTTTAGTATTCCATAGAAACAAGCTTATTCTATACACATAGACGTTCAGCGTAAACTAACAGAGAGACACGCTCTTCGTTAGGAGAGGCAACGAAATACAATTTGCATATCTCCATTCAATTATGATAATATTTAAGACAAAGTCTTCTATCTTAGAGAAGATGAACATTATGTTTTCGACAATATACGTTACTCTCGTGCATGAGAGTAAATGAATTTTGTTCAACCTGCTACCTTGTCAGCAATAAAGGCAAGAGACCATCTTCAAAGAAAGACATGTATTTTTATAAAATGGTCATCATCATTGTTATTATTGAGTTATGTTATCTAATGAGGTGAACATGGTCTCTAGAGTCTTCGGGGCGGTCGGGTAGCCTAGTGGTTAAAGCGTTCGCTCTTCACGCCGAAGACCCGGGTTCGATTCCCGACATGGGTACAATGTGTGAAGCCCATTTCTGGTGTCCCCCGCCGTGATATTGCTGGAATATTGCTAAAAGCGGCGTTAAACCAAACTCACTCACTCACTCTAGAGTCTTCAATTAATAAAATTTTGGCTAATGACACGAAAATCACTTTAAATCAGTATTGATGAAAACAATATTAATTATTCCTCACTTGCGTTTTCCCGAGTAACGTTGTGCCGTTAAATTTCTGATCTACCAGTGTAGGAGATGGTGGCCCACATCATCACACTACAACCACCAAATCTGTCCATTTACTGTATGCATGCCGTGCATAACGTTCCCCGCGACGCCTGTAAACACGACGTCTACCATCTGCGCAGCGAATCATAAAACGTGACTCGTCATTAAACCATACTTGTCTCCTTCGCAGATGTGACCATGTACAGTGAACTTGACACCATTGACGTCGCAACCGACGATGCAGGTCCGTCAAAATGATACATCTGGCGTCATCTGGCGCGAATACCTTCAGAGCGTAAACGGTTCCTCCCCGTCTGGGCTGATATCCTAGACAACCCTGTCATTGCCGAAGTTGTAGAGGCGGCTGGGTTGGTTCTTTCCTATGAACGACGTTGTCGTCCTGTGCTCTAGTCGTGATACGTGGTCGACCGGATCTAGGAAGGCTGAATATGTTTCGCCTGTATGCAGTCGGCCGATGGCGACGTTGTATTGGGTGGCATGTTTTCGCTGTTCACTTGCTGTAAGAGTGTAATGGCATGCAAATTAAAGTCCGACGTTTTAATAGCCCAACAAGTGATGTTCCACGTGATTGTCATATTGGTGTGTTTCGGCGCCAGGCTCTCACGTAGTTGTGTTATTTTGCGGATTGCCATCTTTTCACCACATTTCTGCAGTACCTCATTCTTTCCAAACATATCAATCCCAATCCATGCAGAAATGACCAATGCATTTATAGTATTAACTGTGTATGGATGTTGGCAGATATTTACGATTTTACTACTTTTGCGGAGTATAGATGCAGTAATTACTAGAAAGGTTTACTACATGAACCTTGTGATTATTTGACTTTGATACGTGATAAGATGAAAATTAAATTAAATATATTCATACCAACATTCATCGACATGTCTCAATCATATCACTTCGCACGAAAAAGATGCACAAATGTTTTTCGAAAGTCCTAGAAAAGGTTTTGTCTGACAGATTGGGAAAACTTGATTGTTGTCTTCATGTGTGTCCCAATAAGCGATTGTGGAGGTTAATATATTGACCACATGCGTACAACTTTCCGCGCCAGTAATAATAAACTTGGCCTTCTAATGTATGTCCCTAATATATTACATTATGTCAGTAGATCAGATTTTGGGATTGAGAAACGAACTCATCTGGTTGTATCAAATTCACACTGAATTGTTGATAAAGAAGAGTTATACATACATCAAACAAGCAGTTGTATACGAATATGGACCGCATGAGAAACACACATAAACATGCATCTCTATACATACATACAGATGCACCTCTGCGCACACAGATCAAATATGCCCCTCTGTACACACATTAACACGCACCTCTACACAAACATCAAACATGGACATCCACACACATACACATGAAACGTGTATTTCTATACAGACGAGTTAACATGCACAACTATACACACCTACTTCCAACATAAAACATCTACATCAAAACACACTGTTAAAATGTTCTTATGTGTTTTTTAAGTATCTTCAGATAATAGTATAGTGAGGTGCATGCACGTGTGTGTGTGTGTGTGTGTGTGTGTGTGTGTGTGTGTGTGTGTGTGTGTGTGTGTGTGTGTGTGTGTGTGTGTGTGTGTGTGTGTGTGTGTACTTGGTCAAGTCCGGACTTAATGTACTTGATGTTTTGTAAAGCTAGTCACTGAGATACCATGCCTCAGTCTAACATGTTTACCCAAATTTCATCCCCTTCATGAGGAGCGGCTGACATGATAACAACAAATACCATCTTTTGACGTCGTTAAGGGGGATGACGCGGCTAGGAGATCGAACCGACGACCTTCCGCGTAATGACTGTAACTCACATAACACATCACATAGAAATACGTAGTATCGACATAGTTTTTAATAAATGAGATTGTAATCATAACAAGCCAATCAATCGGAACCTTACATTTACAATTGGATTTATAACAAGCATTTTCACTCAGAAAACAATCTATTTTTCAAGGCGCATATGACTTACAATGTATCAGCAATGCAATGATTGAAGTTTATTTACAGATGGCAATCCAGGGAACATACAGCAATGTCGCACACGAATATTTCCTGTCAATAACATACATTTTGCATCTACTAGAATATGCCATACACTTTATGTTCACGACAATCAAACACAATCTGATGTTATTATATATCACATATAGTCGAACATCTTTGTGTCGAACTCTCGAGTTCGAGACATCAGGTAAATTGTATGCGTAATCTGGATACTTGGGACACCTAAATGAGTTCGAGACAACCGGGAATTCGACACATCCGGGTTTGACATAACTAGGTTCCACTGTATATATTCCCTTCAAACAGTTCTTCAATTATTTCATTAGCATATTTTGACGGTAGTTCGAAAACGATTCTGTCGATGTTCACACTGGTGTATGTCTACCATCTAAGCCCCGCACACAACAGTCACATTGTCAGGAGAGCACATTGAAGGGTTGTCAGTACAGACAGAGTTGAAGGACGATCGTTTCAGTGCATGGATATAGTCTTCCCTTTGCTTGTGAGTACCACTGAGACAGTCTTCACGGGTAAACACCACATGGCCAGCTGAATCACCCTCTGTAAAAGAGAAGCAGTCGTATTGCATGTATGAACACAACAGCTGACATCATAACGGGCGTATTCTGGTTCTGATCGTACCCAAACAGACATCACATTGTTAATCGTATTGCAAGACACTGCAGTAATTTCAAATATGACAGTGTCCTTAGAAAGTTCAGGAAAATCTTACATTCGAGCCTCGTTGTGTCGAACATGGATGTGTCGAATCCCTGTAGTCTCGGACTCATTTAGGAGTCCCAAGTATCCAAATTAAGCATTAAGCATAAAATTTCCCTAATATCTCGGAACCCGGATAACTCGAACTTTTTTCCCTATCCCCAGGACTTTGACACAAAGAGGAGCGACTGTATATAGAAACTCATGGCACCCACCATTGCATCGTCGTGGAATAGGATCTGGAGTCCAGTGGCCACTTGCACCACACACTACCCACTGTCGCGCGTCAAAGCTGAGTGGAAGAGAGTAGTTGGCGTTGCACCCAACGAGACAGAACTGACCATAGTCCGCTCTCCACCCGTTACACAGGACGTAACCTTTGCTCGGAGCAACAATAGAAGGACACGGCTTGGCTGTATCCGAAACATAATGAAATACAGTGAATAATATTATCTCCCATAAATATCAATACATTTTTAGAACTTGAGAAGACAACAACCGTGTGTAATTGATTACATAAATAATCGTTGTTGGTTGTGTCCTGATATGCAGACAGATCCTTAAAGTTTAGCTCAAAATGTTGTTACCTTCTGTTGCGTCGTATATGCAACATGAACTTCACAATCGTTGATGGTTTTGTTAGTGATTGTGACATGTATGTATATGGCCAGTGTCACGTGTATTCGAACGATTCAACGAATGCCCTTACGTCTGACGCTGATTGTAAAGCTGCAGTTCGTCTGAAGGCCGTTACTCGGTTTGACTGCAGTGTAGAGGACGGTGAAGTCTCCCCAGGGGAAGGTGAAAGTGTTACTGTCATAGCTGTCATAATTAGAGGAAGTATTCACAGGGTTGCCATGCGGGTCAGAGAAGTCAGGAGCTGTCCATGTGTAGTTCATCTCACGAGATGAGGTAGTCACACGAACACTAGAAGGGCATTGATCAGCCACTGGCGCTTGTATATCTAAAATAAATGTAAATAAGTGATTCCTGTATCGGCAACCATACATTGTACAGTTTACCTGTGTTCTCGTTTATGGTTTCGTGGCTAACGCTTATGCAGTCTCTTTGGAAAAAGGCCGTCCGCCGCTTACACTTACACTTACTTACCGACATCACAGTTTTTCCCAGTCCAGCCGCTTCCACAGATACAGTCATACCTGTCCAGGCCATCCACACATGTGCCGCCATTCTGACACGGGCCACTCTTACACGACTCGGCGACTGGAACAGTCCAGGATATACTAGTACGTGATAGGTCCAAAACAGATATGAAGAAATACGTACACTCAATAAAATGTTGATGCAATATACAAGATACAATTTCTCGAACACAGGAGTATTACAAAATATTACCTGTGAGGGTAAACATATCGGGGTTCATGAAAATCGTATGTGCCCTAGGGTCATATCACGTCACGAGACAACAGTGTATTGTTTCCGTCATCCGGACGGCATTGTTGACGTCATTCAAATCTGATTGTGACGTGAGGTCTCACTAGAAACGACGTCATAACTGAAGATTGTTGACGTCATTCGCCAAATTGTGGTTCCGCGACTTGCCATCCTTAGTTATCACTAAAATTCGTCTCTGTGTGTGTCATATTCTTCGGTAATAAACAGAAGGTTATATTCTTGTTCATGTCATACCAAGTTTACAAAACTCGTGCAAAAAGTCCGGTATTAGTACTTGTGTCGTAAACATAGTATGACACGAACACTCAATTAATATCCTCCATATTATGAATCTTAATAATACAATGCGACACAAACACACATATTTTCCTGCGTGGAGATTAAGGATTTCGGTCCAAAATTACCCATGTTTTTCGTTAGAGACGACGACATGTAACGTGTTCTCAAGCTCGGTTACTTGGTTGATTGCGTGTGTTCCAACCACATGATATCAACCACTGGTCCAGATTCGATTAAGTACAGGTTGTCATCATATAGCTGCAATATTGCCGAGTGCGGCGTTAAACAAAAAACACACGATGCCGATCCACATGTTGCCACCATATTCATTCAATCAAATGGATTAAGAACACTTCATAATTCACGCAGCTACACGTGAATTACATTTAATCATACACTGATCGAGAATACTTAATTAATTATAATTATGTTGTTATGTTATTTCCAAATTCCGTTTTATGCTTTCACAATGACATGTCATACGTACATAGACATCTAGGTGTAGAACGACTCCACCCTCCGTTAACCAAGCAGGTCCTCTCATAGGAACCAGTCAAGTTATAGCTGGTGTCACATGTGTATGTGATGACGTCATCATAGTTGAACCGTGTCCCGTGTACCTGTCCGTGTGTTATGGACAGTGGTCTGGCGCATGTCACAACTGAAGGAAGCGGGAGGAGGAAAATACCAACAACAAACATTTATGTCACATAATTCTGTTTAGATAATCATTGCATATTTCGCCCCTTTGCACTTTAGATAACATGTCACAAAACCTATTTCATTAACATAATCATTGTTTTTATTCAGTTTATCCATATTTTATTATTAACGAGTTACAAACATAAAAATCGTTATCTCGAATACACTATTTTGAAGAAGGTATGGGCAACATTAAGCGATGAAATAGATACTTACCGTCACCACAGCACACTCCATATCTTCCCCGTGGACAAGTGCAGCGATATCCATTATAGTAACCTGCATCACAGTGTTTGTTGCAGTCCCTTCTTTCCCATCCACCGTTTCCTTCATCGCATGCTTCAAATCCCTCACAATCTGGCGTGATGTGATGCCACACCTTCCTCTGGCGACTCTGACTGCCATAACATCTTCTGGAACACTTAGACCAGGCCTGCCACGTGTCCCAGCGACATCCACACCTGTCCCATTTGTCTGTTCTTTGGCAAGCAGCGATGGGAATGATCGCGACCAAGATCACCCACAGCATGGTTACACCTGAAATGAACTCTTGGTTTGTGTCGACTCGTACTCTACACTTGTCTGACACGCCCTTGTATTCATGCTGATAAGAGTTGGCAAGCATTCAGAGCTAAACAGGGACATTACACACTGTGCCGTGGTTAATCTGCTTCATATTTAGAGTGATAGTAAGGTATCCACCACAGTGTATGACAATAGGGATGACTTCAACCTTCCATCAGTAAAACTGTCACTTCCTCTTTATGTCACTTGCCTCTGCATGTGTTTGTGACGGGTGCCACTGGTTGGGCAGGATACGCTCACGTTTTCGCCAACACCTAATATCATCAATATTTGATAGTGATTCATAAACACATACTTATAATATCGTCGGAATCGTTCTTATGAAAGTATGCAAATTGTTTTCTTGCTTCTAAGAAGGCAGAATATACTTACATTCTGCTGCTGAAACTTTCATAATACCAATATATCTTGTAATGTTGCATTTATTCAATACACATTAAATTTGTGTGACTTAAAGGGAAATAAAAGATGCGTTGTTTCTCTAACCTGAGCCTAATCAAATATATGATAATAAACAAATTTGATGTTTAAAAGTAACGTGACGTACACGTGGATCTAAATGAATTACAATGAAGATCTAATCGAATTACAGTGAAACCCGACTGAAAATGTCCGAATTAACAATGTTCAGATTAATGACTCCTGCTTACGGAATAACGTTATTTTGTATATATAAGCGTTCCCAGTTATAACGAGGTTTCACTGTTATACAATGTCTATGAACGCTGTTTAAAGCTTCATTGAATTCTGTTTTGTGTGTTATGTACATCATGTGTGAATGATGACAAACTTAAATCATTCTGTTTTTAGAGCCGCAATGCCTTAACACTACTTTGACGTAAAACGATTTCATTGGTTAAAAGATATAGGGTAAAAGGCATTATCAACCAGGACGTCTGAATTAAAGGCCCCACAGCATGACTAAAAATCCAGTGACATTATTGATTTGCTTGTACCTCACCTCGGACCTTTTATGCACACCACCCGTGTATGCAAATCGGTGGGCGGGTAAACCTGATAAGAGTTGGCAAGCTGTCAGACCCTACAGGTATATATTTTTCCTTGCTCTCTTGTGTCGCAGACACGTTCGCAGAGAATAAGGTAAGCACATTATGCTGCTCATATTTTCTTTTTCTTAAATGTGTTTCATAAAATATTTTTATCTAATGGTGATATATTATACGCCTCTTTTCAATTATGTTAAAATATTAATTCTAATTATTCAATGTCAAAGGAAATGTTCGTCATTTTGACATGGGCTACACGACTTGGCGCCTGGAAAATGTTTTGAAATGAAACATTTATCATACGCGAAAATATTTGTAAATCGAATTTTCCTCCCTATGCCATTTGCAAACGGAAATACCACTACTTGATTAACAGATAGTATTATCTCGTTAATGTCAATACTCTGGAAACCAATCATTGGAGAAACACATCGATATCAAGGTGTAGAACGGCTCCATGCTCCGTACACTGTGCAGGTTTTCCTGTAGCAACCGGTTAGAACTGGTAATACTTGTGAATGTAATGACGTCACAATACTAGAACCGTCATCCACGTACCCTAACCACAGATATTGACACTGGCTCAGCGTAGGTCATAACTTAAAGATAGTATGTTTGTTGTCCAGCTATATAAGGACGACCTATTATTGAATCTGAACTAAATAAATCAGTGATTAATATAATAAACAACGATCCACGATGACACGCAATCTTAAAGATAGTTTGCATATTCTAACAAGGAGAAATTAATGTTCTAAATGTAAATGTTTCCATGATGTCTTTTGAGTTATGTAAAGGTAGACATAAAACATAATACACCTACATGCACATGTTCGACTGTACTTGAAAGTCCACATAACAGCAGGAAGATAGAGAATTTAGCAATCAATAGCCATGTATCATAAATAGTTGATACACTTGACAGTGAGTATCGGTACAAATGATTGGTAGCTACTTACTGATAACACAACCACAAAATCAACCCTGTGGGTGATTGAAGCCGGTGAAGATGCCCGCTTCACAATGTTTGCTGCAGAGAGACCTGTCTATACTAGCAAACGGGTTTGCAGGACTAAACTTGTCCACAACTGGACACCAGTGGCACTCATACTTTTATCTCACGTTCTTGGCTTCCGTAACACCTTCTGGAACACTTTGACCAGGCCTGAAATGGTACCCAGTAACACAGGGATCACGCCCAGTGTATGCATATCAGTGGGCGCCCTCATATAGCTTGAACATTGCTTACTACCGCGTTAAACAACAAACAAACAAAAACAAAAGATCAGTGGGCGGCGAAGCTTATTTTTTTGTTTTTGTTTAACGCCACACTCTGCAATATTCCAGCTATATGACTGTGGTCTGTAAATAATCGAGTCTGGACAAGACAATCCAGTGATTGATATCATGAGCACCGACCCACGCAACTGAGATACGATGACAAGCTAGGGCAAGAATGGGTTGCTTAAGACCTATTCTACACCGGATCACGGGTTCGGCGAAGCTGATAAGAGTTAGCAACCTTTCCGATTTCACGTGCTATATAAGTGGTACATTCTCTACACACATGCATGCGTGAAAGGCATGAGGCAATGTCATTATGCTCCTGTTCATGGTTCGAATATGTGTGATTAATGTCGATTGGTATTTTGATATATTTATTCCATAACATAATATGACAATAAAAATATGTTAATTTAAATTGTGAGCAATACGATTTCCAGGAAGGAAAATGTGGGAAGCCTGTTTATGGTGGTACCCACCGTGACAGTAAAATCCTACTCACTCACTCACTCACTCACTCACTCACTCACTCAAACTGCAAAGTGTCTTCTATGTGCTTTGGCAGCTACGTACAATTTCAATGGTTAGGACAAATGTTTTTGCTATTTGCAGGGCTGTCATGGCTGGTCGTTCGTCCTCTCTGGCTGCCTACATAGTTACCTTGATGATACTTATCCATACACATATCAGTCAGGTATGATACATTCCATTAGCTATACACTGGAGAAGTAAATTATAGAAATACTAAACCAAAGTGACACTGATAATATTTTGTGATAACTAATTTGAAATGAGCATGTATGATGTTGAATACTCGGAACCCGTTTTATAAATTATAATTTAGAATTTATGAGCACTTAAACACGTGAATTTATCATGGTCGATACATGTACAGTAATCTTAATGGGCCTTTTAAACAAAGACGACGATCTTGTGTTTGTGTCACAGTCTTAGCGCTACCGTCGCTTTGTGTAACGGGTCCTAGGATTACGCTGAAGAAATGTTTGTGGTAAATATGATCCATGTGTGTTTCCTATTGATTACACAGGCTGCAAACACTGGATGCGGGTTGCCAGAGTCATTTGCTGGGTCTTGTGACAAAGATGTGATTCCTGATACCTACTCAGTTACCCAGCATGTTCTTCCAGGAACTAAGTGCAGACTTTCGGGAGCCGTGCGAGTCATGCTATGTAACGAAGACAGCACGTGGACACATGGTAACACAATAATGATCTTAGATTTTCATCCGAATTACGATAACCAAACCTTAATAACAGTTCAATTCAAATTCACTACAATAACAAAAGGAAAACAATAATTATATAGTATCAAATACAAATGACCTGACACGCAGTCTGGTTGCCATATCGTGAAAACTGTATTGAAAAAGTGTGATGCAATGTTACAGAATTTGATGTCCGGAAACAAACCGCAATAACCAGACAGAAACGTCAAGTGGCGGCAATAATAATGGCAGTAACTGGACTCATTACTGGAATAGGACAAGTGGTCTGCATGTTTGTTTGCAAAAGTAAGTTCCTGTTGGTACATTAATTATATATTCTGAAGGGTTTTTTAAAAAAAGATTCCATTTTTCAAACTTCAAATCTATGTCTTTCAATGGTTTCCAGATTTTTTTGAAGAGTTGCATGATTTATGCATTTAGGTTTTATGAATAAAATAACATAAAAATTGTTCATTTGAGGCCTTCATCCATCTCAATGTTTTCATGATTCTACAGTGTGGACTTGTTAACACATTACAAAGGCCTACTTCAACCTAGCTTTAACCAAACATCAACCCACGTCCATGAGTATTTTTTAATCATCACAATGTTTGACAACAGAGAGCCCTCCACCAAACGCGCCCCCAACGATCACCTGTCCACGCGTGAGTGATGAGATAGCAGAGACGGGTAAGACAACAGCACATGTGACATGGGCTCAACCTACTGCTGAAGACCCAGAGGATGGGAGCAAAGGGTAAGCAGAAGCCGTCAAGGTCAATTACTCACTGTTCACTATTCTTATAGTAATAATTAAAAATAATTTTTAATCAGCACATAATAACACTACTACTACTACTACTACTACTACTACTACTACTACTACTACTACTACTACTACTAATGAATCGCTGTGTTGAGAAGCCCTACACAGTCCTTCGCTTGGATGAGGTCGGCTGGCCTGAAAAGTGAAACAGAAGGCTTTCTGTTTGCTGTTGAGGACCAGTCACTTCCCACTCGAAACCGTCAATGTGTGATTTTGAAATGTAAATATGAAATGTAGATAATGTAATGAATTTAATGAGAATGTCCAACACATTGTCAGTGGATGCCTAGCTTTGGCACAAACACAGTATCTTAAGCGACGTGATGGAGTAGCTCGATTATTTCATTACCGTCTTCGCCATGCTTGTGGTTTTGACATAGACGTCCATCCATGGTACGGCCCAGAATATGTAGAGGGCGTAATGAAAAATGATAAATATAAAAATTCTTTGGAATAGGCCCGTATACAGCCCCAGACGTATCCAGGCCAACAAACCTGATCTTGTCCTTTTTGATAAATCCAATGAAATCATTTATATCATTGAATTTTCTGTCCCCTTTGACCCTTATGTGATTGACAAGATTGGGGAAAAACATGGCAAATATGCGGACCTCGCTTTCGAAATGTCACGCTTGCATCCCAAGTACCAAGTTGTTCGACTCCCCATTGTTCTCGGTGCCTTAGGTTTGGTACCTCCCAATCTTTTGACTGACATTGGGAGATTTCCCAGATTTGCTACCAGGAATGCAGCCCTTCTGACAATCTGGGTAATGCAGAAGGCTGCAGTGTTGGGGAGTCTTCACATTCTCCGAAAAGTTCTTGGTGGATTTGACTAGGCAGCGCTTCCTGGGAGAAGTCCCATTCGCTGTCTGGGCTGCGTGTAGAGGGGGCAAGGGCCCTGAGCTGATGATGAGCCTAACCAGCCTGACTGTGCCAGGATCACTCAAACCCTCTTTGCTGATTTTTTTTATTTTAATCTGTAAATAATAATGATTGGTTTGTTACCAACTGACCTCTTAGCGTAGATAAGGAGAGTGTCAGGGTTCTCCGCCGGGTTCGCAGCCCTTCTGTTCAATTTGGGTAATGAAGAAGTCAGCTGTGTTTGAGATTCTCAATATTCTCCGAAAGAAAGCTCTTGTTCGGTTAGGAAGCATTTCTTAAGGAGAAGTCCTATTCTTGGCTGCGTGTGGAGGGGGCAGGAGCTTACGATGAGCCTGTGCTAGGACCATTCGCACACCCTCTTATGCACTTTTATATAAATCTGTGAAAATAACTAACACCTCTTAAAATTTCATGAACCAAAGAGTGCAACTTATTGCGGGAAAAGATCCCGGAAGTGAGTTTGACGAAGGTGCCCATTTCATACAATACAAGACACAGGACAACGGAGGGCTCACTGCATCCTGTACAATACAATTCAATGTCAAAGGTTTGCTCAAAATAACGGCTTATTTACTCAAATTATTTCGTTTGTTTTTTTGTTGTTTAACGGAGCACTCAACAATATTCCAGCTATATGACTGTGGTCTGTAAATAACCGAGTCGGGACCAGACCAGTGATTAATATCATGAGCATCGGTCGACGCAATTGTGATGGGATACCGTTAGTGCCCTCTTACGATAAACATAGTCGCCTCTTATGACAAGCACGTGTTCCTGAAGACCAAATCCAACCCAGATCTTCACTGCTATCAAGTTATTGTGTGATGGTTGTAATTATAAGTGATAGCATGGTTAAACGTGGAATGTACATACTATTTGTAGGATCTGTTTCTTTATTTCTTTAATGGGATGGTTGGGTATACTAGTGGATAGCTCGTCACGCCGAAGGCCCGGGTTCGATTCCCACATGAGTACAATGTGCAATGTCCCCCGCGATGATATTGCTGGAATATTGCTAAAAGCGGCGTAAAACCATACCCACTAATTATTTCTTAAATATTACACAAACAAGTAATGAACAAAAGGAGTAAGATTTTACTACATGTATTTGGCATAAATACATTTCCTTCTTTCTCTATCCGGATAATATTTCAGTTTGGTTTTTAATCCCCTCCGACTGAAACGCAAATCCACCCCAAGTTGAACAACTGATATTTAAAAAAAAAATCCATTAAGAATTAAGGCTACTCTTGATTCCTGTTTTAGGACAGACACCAAGAGAAACTGCAAATCCCACAAATATTAATTTTCAGTTTTCTTTAATTTATGCCCAACGACGACCAATATTCTATAGATGAATTCTATGTGAACAACATTCAAAATATATTTCCCAATTTTGTGTTTTTGAAAACCTACGAAATTGTACTTACCATGTACTTACCGTCTTTATGGTGACTTTTACAATATTCAGTGCAACGTTGTTCCCCGATCCACTGGCCGAGTACGGGGAGAGTGGAGTGCGACAAGAGAGAGATTTCTGGGTCCAAGTGTAAACTATACTGTGATGAGGGATACGAGCCAGATGGTGCGACTGAATCCGTCTGTAACAAGGAGACATGGAGTACTTCTTTCAAGTGCACAGGTTAGCTGGAAACCCGAAAGATTTTAACGCTTGTCCAGCATTAGCATTATCTCCAGATTGTAACATTGATTATTCTTATCACTCTGTGAACAATATAAGATCCCCAGAACGGCTGTTTCGAACATCATTCTCAGTAATGTCATTTAATGACATGTGAAATATGTCACTTTGACATTTCTATGCTCACAACCTATCTTTGGTGTTTATACATATGTCACATGAGACTTATTTTCATAAGGAGTGTATTGTGTGTAAATGTGATAGAAACGTCAACACACGCACAATTTACAAATTATAAAAGTATTATATAAGTATTTTTATTATCCTGCTATGACAGTGTGTAATTTGCTTCTTTTCTTCAATATCCAAAAGACAGAGTGCAAATGGATCGCATCCGGAAGTATCGAATCGTCCATGTCATCTGACCTTGTTGTATAACAGTTGCCTCAATGCTTTCATATTTTCCCCGCTTCCTTTGCGGCTTACTTTAATGAGTGAGTGTGTGAGTTGGGTTTAATGCCGCTTTTAACAGTATTACAGTTATATCACGGCGTGTCAGCTTAATGTGGGCGTAAAGCCTGAAGTGATGCAGATCTCAGACGTTTACCACTTCGGTGAAACCCACGAGGACGGGTATGGTGCAGACAAACCTAGAAACATAATCGGGGCGAGCCGGGATTCGAACCCACAATCATAGGTTTCTGGCGTGCCCAAGGGGCGCAACTCTGCACAGCTAATTGCGGCGCCCTAGACGACTGGGCCACACGTGCCCCCTACTTTAATGAAGTGATTTCGTGTTTGTGAATGATTGTTGTTCATGTAACCACATTGCTTGTTTCCTGTTTTAGTGCTGAAGGTACTTTACATTTAGAATGGATGATGTGAACCTGGCAGTGAGGGAGGTAGCTGGACTGGACTTGTGAGACCAGCCGTCCCTTCATCGTTCCTTCGTGGTCTCTGTCAGAACTAAACGCCAGGACCTAACGCCATCGAAATTCCTGCTTTTCAAGTGTTGAGCGGCAAAGCACAATAACCAGAGGCTTTGGAGCCTCTAATATAGTTGCGTCGTCTTGACCCATGGTGTGCATAACATATCTGTTGCCATGGACATCTACTACAAAGGGGGAGGGTGGATCCCTGTCTCTTTGTCGGCATTGCTTGTCTCTGCATCTCCGGTGGCGTCTCCAGTTGTCCTGTCTGCTTCCATGAGAGAATTTACTCTCCTCTCCTCTACCCTGACCTACAGCGTGCTGTCGTGGCGGTGGTCCTACTTTTTCAACGTGCTGGTCCTTTGGATCCGGTTGCATCCAGGTGCATCACGGAAATTCGCTCGCAGTCTTACTCCTATTTTCTGTTGCAATAACCCAGGTCGGCATCGAACTGTATTTGAAGGCAACATCTCCGATTTCCATGATCAAATGTCTCACGCTGCGGCTACACTATAGTTTCTCAAAGCCTCATCATCGTAATGTGCCCATTTTTGCATGATTCACAGACATTATTTAGAAGTTCTGTATCCTCAAGTTTGCAATTCAACAGGGGGAACTGAGGATGCTTAACTATATGTCCCAGTACACTCCCATTGCTTACGGTTTTACCTACAAGAAAACATTTCCAGTGGCGGATTTCCAGTAGTCAGCCCGATCCAATCCCAACTAGTCCAAGTTAGATTCTTACATCTGTCTGCAACGTGGGGAAGTTGGTGACCACGCCCCCAGGTCCCTTCAGTTTTAACACACCCTTGAATCATCTCTCCTTTAGATGAGTTGCTACAGATCCAATCACTGGTGTCTCTATATGAAGACATCTCTTCTCTGTGCAAGACCTTACCAGAGAGGTTGACTCCAACTTCGACTTCTTCAGGTTTTTCTTGAATCGCCCAAATCAGCCTGATATCCTAATGCCATTAGACCAGTCTCTGAATCTCCAAAGAAGGCGGGGCCGTCTAGTCGAATGTCATCATCAGAGTCTCTTTGACAGACTTCGTGCCCACTCATGACCTGTTTGTTCTATATGCCTCCCTGTAAGGATGGGGGATGCACATAGTGTGGCTGTAATGATTGCCACTGACAACTCATGGGGTGACACGTTCCGGTATTACAACCAGTTCTGTTCGTGGCGGGAGCTAATTAGTGGGTTACCAGTGACCTAATGGACCTCGTCTCAGTTGGCTACACCATCGCCGACAAAATGTATGCTCTACCTTGCTCTCATCTGTCAGATGTTCCCTCCTCTCTTCTGTACGCAGTTAAGAAGTAGACCTGTTCACAACTCGATTCAATCACCAGTCCCGGATTCTCAAGCATTGGATCACTACACACCCCAGAACATCCCAGTCCTGTTGCAGCATAATGTGGTTTCCAGACCTCGTTAGCATACAAAAAGAGTACTTGGACTACAGTCGTGGTGCAATGTATTACCACAATGAGCACACCGTGTTTTGTGAATGCCATTCCATTTCCCCTCGTTCCCATTATAATAACAAGTATCATCAAGTGATTCTCATCGTCATCGTCGTTCTGTCCTCCGGCATGGGATCTCAATGTAGTCTAAATCATTTGATCACAAGTACATCTGAACCATTGTAACAACTGGGTTATAGCTTTTTATGCAGAAGAAGGTGTTTTTGATATCTTTGGCAATGACAGTCCAGCTGCGAGAAAAATGCTCTTGATGTCATACATGTCACATTTGAATGGAGTGACACGACCACATCTTGTTTTCATGTGGGACTTTGTCAATGACGGCTGCTGGTGTATAATTTTGTTTCCCTCTATGATCCCGGGACTCCAGGACTTCGATGTCTCGCCTTATCCTGTGCGATGACTTGTTAATAATAAAAGTGATATAACCCTTTCCACAATCTAGGAAATATCCATTGTACGATTGTTACTTTATCACAAGCATGTGTTTTTGCATCAGAACCAAACAAGCGTTTCCACTATCAGCATAAGCAATCATTATCACCAATCTCACCTATGCGCAAGGTGGATGACTGAGAACGACAACCTTTGAGGCTTACCAAGATGCTTGATTGTCGCATCTCCACGCCAACAACCCGTATGAAATGAGAGCGTTGTTGTCTATTCTGGTATTCAACACACACGTTTCATTCGTCATCATCATTGCAAGGTGTTTTAGGCAGTCGCGCGCAATGTATTGCCACATCAGTTACTATCTGACTGTTACTATCTGCAGGACTTTTCAGTGGAAGATGTCATGTGGCTACAGTCCACTCATCTTGTGCCGCAAACCACCAACTATCGACACCAGTTATCGTCGGCGTCATCATCGTCTACATGTTTCTACATGCAGTAAAAGAACCGGCGATGATCAGCAAGAGATACACGTGCTAACTTAACATTGGGTCTGAGATTGGATTTCCTGTTAGATTGTACTGGCTCAGACGCATTTGCCTCTTGCTTGTTCCCGTCTTTCCTGTCCGATTGAAGCCAGAGGAAGAACAAGTGCATCGAACTCCGAACCTAAGTTTTACGAATATCACAGATAACAAGCAAACTGCACACTGTCTAAGTAGGGTAGACATACAATGTACGGAATACTCTAATAAATTTAAACTGTATTGATATTTTACAGAAAAGGAGTGTCCGACAATACCTAATGTGACAAACGGGAATATATATTGTATGGGAAACCCGCCAACATACAAGACGATGTGTACACTATCTTGCAAAAGGGGCTACTCAACTGAAGGACCACCAATGATCATTTGCAACAAGAAGGGCGAGTTTTCGCCACCTGGAAAATGCATAGGTATGACCTTTAGCTCAATTAAATCGATTATATAACTTATTATCCTAGCAAATGTTTTTTGTCACTATCATACTACATTGGTGCTTATCTTATCATTGGAACAATGTATAACTCGATATAAAGTCAATGGTCAACATGAAATTAACAGGGTTTCAAAGTATGGTATGTTGATGATTAAATTTGCCATATTATTTGCAGATTGGTGCAACAAACAATGCTTTTATTTAATGTTTAGATACCAAACCACCGGAGTTTATTGACGGTTGTCCCCCTGACGTTGAAGAGTATGCTGAGCAGAAAGGTGGAGCAAGGGTGGTGTCTTGGGCAGACCCAGCGACCAAGGACAACTCTGGCGTGGCCCCAACAGTGAAGGGCACTCCATCGACCGGGCACGCCTTCACTTTGGGTCGAACACCTGTCCATATTGTTGCTACTGATCAGGACGGGAACACAGCATCTTGTACTTTCACCGTTAACATCAAAAGTTAGCACACTCCTGACAAACGAAGGGAAACATTTCATCTTTGGTCATAGTGATGTTGATTAGGACATATTTGTATTTCCATTAAAGATTTGCCTTGTTTATTCAAAAATGAATTCTAATCGCAGTCTCGGCCTAATTTGCATCCTACGTCTAGCCATTGTAATATTTGTTTTGTTTGTTGTTTAACGCCGTACTCAGCAATACTCCAGCTATTTGACGGCGGTCTGTCAATAATCGAGTCTGGACCAGACAATCCAGTGACTGATATCATGAGCATCGATCCACGCAATTGGGAAACGATGACATGCATCAACCAAGTCAGCAAGCCTGACCATCCGATACCGTAATACGACAAGTATTAAGTATTTGAAAATGTGATGTTTTTGTGTAAAGTTGTAGTTACCAAAACAAGTCGATATTCGAAATAAGAAATACACAAAAAACATTTGCTAGGACTTCCAATTTGTTCCAGCCGGGGTTCCCGTTATTATATTTCAGCTCTGGTTTGTGACGATCCCAAGTTAGACAAGTCTGGAAGAGACCTTCTCATGTACACGTGTTCTGATGGCATGACCTATGGAGACTCTTGCACAATGTCCTGCAAATCGGGCTACCCACTGGAAGGCTCCAGCAGGATTTTGTGCAATAAAAGACTTGGTTCTGGTACACCTCCAAGAGTTCATTGGACATGGCCAGATGATACTCTTGAACCCTACTGTAAAAGTGAGTGACAGAATAGAGGAGTGCCTCTTTGCTCGTCTACACCAAGATAAAGGCATGTGTTAGACGACAGATATTTGGAAAAAATAGTTACTGACAAATTTCAGACATATAACTGGATAACAATGAAGGTCAAGACCAAGGTAATTCATTATGAATTAGGTATAAAATACTTCTTTACTCGACAACATGAGTATTTATGATTTCAGTTTGATGAAACTTGGCAAGTAAATCATAAGGGTGAACCAGAGTTTAAGGTTAAGGTCACTGGAGGTCACATATGAAATATGTCTCAAACTTCAGGAAATGACGGATTAATTCATGAATAATGTCCGAAAGAGAAAGAGTGTCCATAAAGCAAAACATATACACGATAAAACGATGTGTAAAGAATCGCTCTAATGTATTTTAAAACCCACGCATCATCGCAAGGATCAAATATTTTGTCCAAATGTCAAACCCCAAATTTTTACATTGATGTTATCAGTCAGAAAGTCAAGCATGTAAACTTCAGATGGCATTTGCTTTAATTTTTGACAATGGAACGGAACGTCCGTACATAGTTAATAGATATATCTCCGGTCACTACGTTTTGAATGATCAGAATGACGTTTTCATTTAAGTTTGTCATGTGGAATAGTGGTGAAGTTGAAAAATGAAAACTTTTCAAGAACTGAACCTGGTTCTTTTGAGAGATTGTTAAAAGTCAAACAAATCCTTTGTGGGTTTTTTTAATCCACATGGTATTCATTTCATTTATCTCAAATACTTTCTATCAAGTCAAAAGTTAATGGTATTGATCACGTATGCCAAGGTCTTTGATCAAACAATTAATGTAATGATGCTTACATATAACGGTTATGTTATTTGAGGCATTGTCAGTGGGAACAACAACAAACAAGTGACCAGCATATTTTGCTTGGGACCTATTCTAACCCAGAACCCCCACGGGTGTTATAAAGGTAGCTGACCCGTGAAGATCCGGGGTAGAATAGGTCTTCAGCAACCCATGCTTGCCGTAAAAGGCGACTATACTTGTCGTAAAAGGCGACTACCGGGATCGGGTGGTCAGGCTCGCTGACTTGGTTGATGCATGTCATCGATCCCAATGGCGCGGATCGATGCTCATGATGTCAATCACTGGATTGTCTGGTCCAGACTCGATTATTTACAGACCGCCGTCATATAGCTGGAATATTGCTGAGTGCGGCGTTGAACAACAAAAAAAAACACAAAAAAACAATATTAAGGTAGATGCATGTATATGACTTTCTCCTCTACATTGAAGAGGCATGACATTTTCTCTGTTACAGTTGTACTGAATTGGGCATATGTTTTCCTTAACCATGAATGATTTCAGCAATCGGAAGTACTTATAATTTATTATTAGGGTACCAAGAGGATTTTTTTCTAAAAGCTGTACTGCTTTTGGGCATGTGTTTTCCAAAATCCAGAAGAGATGGCATTAAATCGAAAATGGTTCTAACTAGGCTAGTGGCATGAATATTTCTGTTTTATGTTCTACGACATTGGCCATGTGTTTCCTAAATCTGGAAGTCGTACCGCATTAGACAACAATAGGGATAAAAGATGAAAATGGGTAGATATTGTTGAGGTCAACTAGTTGGGCAAGAGAATGGGTTCATAATGCAGTTGGTTTAGTAATGAGAGTATACCTCCAAATCAAATCGTGAGACATACATTTGTTTTGAATTGTTTGTTGAATCAATTAGTTTGCTCTTTGTCTTCTATTAGTCAACAAGTGCCCGGACCTCAATGAACCTCTGAATGGTGCCCTAGCATGTGACCGATGGAATCATGGGAAAATGTGCCAAATGCAGTGTAATGAGAAGTTCGATGTGCCAAGAACTGTGCCCGCCCAGTATGTGTGTGGGGAGTCGGACGGCATGTGGCGCCCAAGTGACAACATACAGGACTGTACAGGTATGTTAACATGTCTTTCATTTTGTTAGCTTGCGGGAAGATGTTTTAGCTAAACGGATGCAACCCACTCACAAGTATTATATTTCTATGTCCGCATTTGATTCAATAGAGCTTTATCAATTTCTTATAATTATCCTTATTACTTAATTAATATTTTTCGATTTCTCAAGTTTTATGTTAAATTCATCAAGTAATTTCATGAGTGACGCAGCAAGGAGTGAAAATATCACTTTTGTATGTCACGATAATTTGACACGAAAAATAATCTCACTCTGAAGACCATTGAGGCACACTGTAATTAGATCCGTAAGAAAGTTTTATCAACAGAGAGAAATACCGATTTCACATTATCCGATTATTTCAATATTTCATTTCTTAATACTTCATAACACCATATATCATTACTTAGTGAAACGTCGCCCTGGATCTATGAATATGCCCTCTGAGCTGTATTACTACAGCGGAGACTGCCCTGATGATGCAGCAAACAAACAGATTAGGGAGAACTTCATCAAGATGCTGAAGGCCAACCCTTTGTTCAAAGAAGAGTGTGGCGGAACGGTACCAGACTGCAGGGCCGAGTTCGTCAGCGTTAAATGCGGTGCAATATCTGGCCGTAAACGTGACGCCAATGTCAATGTCAAAGTTGAATTTAACGTCATATTGCCATACAGGGAGAACGGTCAAAACACGAGCGTTGTCGTCAAGTCATACGAGACTGCATTCGACAGAATCAAGGGTGCGATAGATAAGGCTGTTCAGTCTAAAAGCCTCGATGTTGGAGTTCCAGGGTTGGAGCTGCAGGATGATTCCTACGCTCCTGGCATTCCAAATTTCTACTGTGGGAAGGGCATGACATCAAGTTATGGCACTGCTTCATGTGGTAAGTGTTTAGTGTTTCGTTGTGCAATAATGGAATATTCCCATGATATCCCTTTTCTTTAAACTTGTTTGCAGGAAAGGCATTCAAGAGAGCAACTGTCCTTCATATAGGCTAATGTTGGTTGAAAAGTTAATAAGGATATGTTACTAAAATGCAAATCAGTTTAATTCTATTCTTGACAATTGAAATTCAGGATGGAATGATGAGCATAGGAGTAAAATAATGTACCCATAGAGTAATTCAAATGTGATTTCAATTACAAACAGCCGGCTGTCCATCTGGTACTTTGTACAACGAAACTGCGGACAGTTGCGCTGATTGTCCCTTAGGATCATACCAAGACAGTGGTTTTGCTTCGATGTGTTTGAGATGCCCAGATGGCTTTTCTACAAAGTCCACAGGCAGCAGGAGAAAGGAAGAATGTTTAGGTAGATTGATATATTGATTGCATATGTGAAGCCTTACTTATGTAAGGTTGATAAGTGACACCTTCAAATAACACAAGCTAGGTTCATGTAGGAGTTTCAGTCCAGATAATTAATGCTTACTTAACAGAGAATTGTAGCATATTAACTATATCACTGTTTCTCCGATTTTGTTTGCTTGATGGGAAGTGTAATACTTCACAAAACCGAGCCTTGAAATGCTGATGTGGCATTGATCGAAATTAAGTCAACTAATATCTTATAATTTGTAAATATTATCATGTGAATGTTATGAAAACACAACACAGTCAACAGCTGCTGAATATATACGCAGCAAAAACCATGACGTCTTTCAAGTTTGTATTTGTTCTGCAGCTATGTGTGAAGCAGGGTGGTCTTCTGGGTCCGGTCTTTTACCGTGTAGTCCCTGTCCAGTTGGGACCTTTCAAGAGATGCGTGGTATGACGGCATGTAAATCGTGTCCAGTTGGGCAGTCAACCTTGAATCAGGGTACCAACAGCATTCAGAATTGTGAAGGTAAGTGTATCGCAAGACATACAGGCTTAATAATGAGTTGGGTTGAAAGCTGCAATGGAGAGGCAAATACCGATTGGTGAGATAGATTGTAAGAACGGGAGATTTGGAACATCATTTGAACACTATTTTTTGTTTTATGTCACAGTGTGTCAGCCTTATCTAGGAAGATAGTCCGAAGTGATACATGTCTAAGACGTTTAACACTTTGGTGACATCCGCGAGCACTGGTATGACGCTGACTAACCAAGGGTAATAATCAGGGTGAATCTGGGATTTAAAACCAGGACCAGCAGATACTGGTCGTAAACCGAAATGCAGTGTCTCAGACGTATGGGTAACCATGCCCCATTTGGGACCATAATTTACACATCGTGCATGATGACAATCGGAAATATTTTATTATTAATCACATCCCTCTTTGTTTCACAGATTTCGATATCTTTGTAACGAAATCTAAGTCGGGCCATTCTGGAACAGTTAAGGCTGATTTGGCGTCCCTATCAATGTTTTTCTGGATAAAGATACAGGGAAACGGTAGTTTGAAGGTGGAGATTTCAGACGAGCATGATGCGGAGAGGTTTCATGTCAACATTGCGGATACAATTATGGTTAGAACAGGAAGGTAATATGTCATAGATATGGACGGTTAAAATTTAATATTATGAAAACAGTCCGTTATTTTATTAAAGATGAGTATTGTGGCATATATGTCATTAAGAGTTTGTTTGTTGTTTAAAGCCGCACTCAGCAATATGACAGGGGTCTGTAGATAATCAATCCTGTAATTGACACCATGAGCATCGATTTACGCCATTGGGATATGGTGACATGCATCAACCAAGTCAGCGAGCCTGACCACTCGATCCGTTAATTTCCTCTTACGACAAGCATAGTCGCCTCTCATGACAAGCATTGGTTGCTGAATCTTCATGGGTGTCTCATTAAGAAAACCACTAGAAACTACCAAACTAAGCAGGGACGTCTATTTCCTATACATTTACCCATGTTGCAGTGGCTTAGTGGATTCAGGTTTGTCTGCAAGGAAAAATGACTGGATGCACATTATTACGACGGTTGACACAAGCACGAAAGAGCTCACTATCTATATTGGCGGAAAACAGGCGTTCACAAAAGTACTTAACAGCATCGCATCTCCAATGGTCCTAAACGGGAGTACTGTCTCACTGACCTCCGACACAAAAGGTTTGATTATAGCAGTCAGTGTTAATACTAGTCTGCATTATATGGCTATATTATATATGTTTCCTTTCAAGACATTATTCCGTTGTCGTGACAGATAGCAGAATTGCTTACGCGACATAAATATTCACTTAAAGAAAGTAACACTTTAATAAAATTTAATATAATTTTCGTTAAGTTCTCTGTTGTATACATGGTCAATGACGTCATGTCACGTCCTACTTCTCATGATACTGGCAGTTTGTTTCTTCCAGTCACCATTAGCCGCTTCGAAATAAATATATTTTACGTTGAAATAACATATTATTCTTATGTTTACATTTTTTAAGACAATATAACGGACGTTCACAGAACACTAACCTTCTGGACATTTGTTTATTCTAGCTACCGTCAGTAGTTTCAACATACTTGGACGGATGTTGACAAGTAGTGAGGTCGTAGAAGTCGCTTCCGGGTGTGGCGTCCATGTCCATGACTCCTCCTTCGAGGTTAACCCCGAGGGATTAATTGTACCTAGCACCTGTGATTGTAAGATTAATTGCACAATTATTGCATATTACGTCCCTTTTAAGACTTAACCTGATACCATTTTTAAGGTTTTATTAGTGCCCGTTGGTATGTGTGTGATGACGTGTGAATCCTTCGATTACATATTTACAAAAATCAAATTGATGCTCTTACATTATTACCTTGATCAATGAACGTGTCCACACTAACACAACGGTTTGCTGAGGGCGACCCTAGTCGCGCATGGTTTTGAAAAGAATAATTTTAACATTTGTGAAGGGGTCATTCTTAAAGATTTCGGCTCAGTCCATCACACCCTGCAAATGTACACAACAAATGTATTTGTATCATCAGTATAGTACAAGATAATTAAGTATGAAGCACAAGAACAAAATTTCCGAGAGTTATAGTTGGCGTAATGCAGACGTAATTGTTAACGTGATAATCACACACATTGCAGCATGGCATTGTTGACGTCATAGATATGTAGGCTCTGTTACCTTCGCGTTTTTTGTTTTCACAACATTCAACTCCAGGTGTCTGTGTGATCACACTAGTTTCATTATTCATGTATTTCGTTTGCTTTCGCCTTGCAAATACGATATTCTTATATTCGTCAATCTGATACAAAAAAAACGCATATAATAATCTGTGTTTTCCAGCTGTTAACGAATGCATGTCGAGTCCCTGTGGCAACCACACCTGTGTGAACGAGGTGGGCAGGTACAGGTGTGACTGTTCACATGGCTACTCTGGACGGCAGTGTGAGGTACCCCCTGATCACTGTCTACATCACAGCTGTCAGCACGGAGCACGGTGTGTCAACGACTACTCCAACTACACATGTGTCTGTGGCCTGGGGTACCGGGGACGACTATGTGAAGAGGTTATTGGTAGGAAGAATATATACTCATGACAAAAACAGCAATACTCTTTCTACAGTAAAAGCTTTAACAACACTGCAGTGACTTTTCCTTTCATTACCTATTTGTTTTCTGTGTTTCCCAGATTATCATTACACTTCATTTACCTTTCATTGCAATTTTTTGTTTGAACAATTTGTCCAGTTAAACTGTTTACCAAGTACTGAAGGGGCGGTCGGGTAGCCTTGTGGTTAAAGCGTTCGTTCGTTAACCCGAAGACCCGGGATCGATTCCCGACATGGGTACAATGTGTGAAGCCCATTTGTGGTGTCCCCCGCCGTGATATTGCTGGAATATTGCTAAAAGCTGCGTAAACCCATACTCACTCACTCACCAAGTACTGAAAGTACGAATGAATTTATATCTGACACATACCTGAAACGTACCCAGACGAAGAAGGGTGTACATACCTGCATTTCTTGCTGTTTTAAGTGAACGGTGGGTGGAGTTTATGGTCTGACTGGGGTGAATGTAGCGTGACCTGTGGAGGAGGAGTGATGACCCGGAACCGGAAGTGTAGCAGTCCCTCACCTGATCCGGATGGGAAACCATGTGAAGGAGCTGAGACCTTGTCCGACAATTGTAATGCACATGAGTGTCCAGGTAAGCACGCGATTCTAAACGCTCAGTCGGCAACGGGGTATTTTCAAATAATTGTCCATCAGGGCTGAAGCTCATTCCTCTGAACGCGTGCCGAGTGTCTTTTCCAGGAACCGCCTGATAAAGTTTAGAATTTGTAATCCTTAAACAGGTTTGCTCAGGGTGTTCAAGTAACCACTGAAAACAATCTAGACTTGGGTCCTTTTAAATAAGCATCTGAAGCAGGTTCAGAAATGTAGGCATGTTTACGCTAAACATTCTTGCTCAGTGTCTATTCAAGTAAATATTTTATACAGTTCAGAATTGGACAGACATACTCTACACATTCTTGCTCAAGGATTGTTCTATTAACACAGTTCATAACATTATATGTTATCAGTACCACTGATATGACTGGTACACGGAAGCAATGGTGTTTCAGCATGTAGGCATCTCCTGAGGTCATACGGTGTCGAGACACACTGTAACACGACTGACGACTTGATCCAGTGCTCAATCTCGTGTCGGGATGATCTGATGTTCGTCAAGCCGGTGCTGCCGCTGTACGAGTGTGGACGGAAGACCAACTACACATGGACTCACCAAACGGATGACAACCCTCATGCAAGGCTGCCGGCGTGTTCTGGTGCGTAGCTCATATAGACTGTGTTAAAGCTCGGTCGGTTACAGATGTAGATTGCCACCTTAATCAACAAAATAACAAGTCTTCGTCGAGGCTTTTGTCTTTTGGAGGGCTTAGGTTCTTATGAGAACACGTCGATTCATAAATAGTCCAATAAACTAAACACCTTTCGTACTAACGCTACCACTTAAATAATTTTCAAAGTAAAACAATTATTTTGTTTTTTTTATTGTATCCGATAAGTGGTCGAAGAAAAGTGCATACTCGAATATTAAAGTTGAAGTACCCCATGATAACGTTTCTATCAATCTGGATGCACTATGAACTATAGTGTTAAATACACTCACGCTCACAATTATGTTCATCCCTATACCAAGAAGTGACAATAATTAAGAAAATTGGTACATGGGGGATCTAAATATCGTAAGTCACATCCCTACCATTAATGTTGGTATTGTCGGTATTAGCTGTAGCAAGTGCCCGGGGCTACAGCATACATCACCAAGTGGAGTACCCATCCCTATCCTGTGACACTACTGAACAAACCAAGTCCTCCCTGACAACACAGCTCCTTGCCAAGACAAATACACTGAAGTGTATTGAGGACAACTCCTGCCAGACTCGGGTAGAATTCTGTCCCGGTACCTCCAGAAGAAAGCGTTCCACTGGTGCCCCCGTTACAATTGTGATGACGTCAAACAACGACAGTGTTCCTCCTATGAACATATCGCTGGTATTCAGTGATAAGTCACGTAAGTAGATATTCTGCGTAATCTAAAATAATATACCACACTCAATTGGAAGAATGGGAAAATTGCCGCTTTCAAAACTGCGTGGCATAAAATTGGTCTTTGCATCCTAATTCAACTAACTGCTCATATGTCCGAAAGAAAAGAATAGACAATCTGACAGGAAGGTGAGTGAGTGAGTGAGTGAGTGAGTGAGTGAGTGAGTGAGTGAGTGCTAATGATCTTTACCCACGTCGCTCCTATTGTAATTGCGATTCACAATAAAGGTTAAACATACAACTTAAAACTAATTATGTAAAACTGACAAAATGGGAAATACAACAATGAAACAATTAATGATTAACGTTCAGTAGCAAGTGAGTTGGGTTTAACGCCGCTTTTACAGTATTCCTGTTATATAACGGCGTGTCAGCTTAATGTCGGAGGAAAGCCCAAAGTGATGCAGGTCTCAGACGTATCGTTCGAGATTAAGTTAATAAAGTTAATAAAGTCCACACGAAGAACACCTGAGATGATGTCACGCTTTACAGTAGTTCCTGGTCAAATGCAAATACCATTTTCTGTGTAGCAGTCGCTATGGAGAGTCGAGCCCCAGACATGTCATTACCCTGTTGATTTGGGTCGAATCTCAAATTCGCCCTAAACAAGATCCTTTGTGGCAAACACCAAACCTGCATTACTCCTACTTTTAGCTGACGTGCTAACATGCAGTTCAAAGCAGCGCAAAACCTTACTTTATGTACGTTTGTCATGCGTCCACGTCTTATTAACCTTACAGGGTCCGGGCAGCTGAAGGCGTACTTCACTCACGTGGCCACGTTTGAGATATCAGCCCAGCAGCTCGTCAACAACAGCAAAACGATATTCACAGTCAACCTGGGGGGCAGGACGTACACGGTGGACCCCTCCAGTGGTACCACAGCTGTGGACATCAACTGCCCTCCCGGAACCATCCCTACAGATGCTGCTGGGCTTTGTGGTACGAAGTTCCTTGATACGAAAGTACATGGTGTACTGGTTAATGCTTCTTACTTTTGATGACTTTTAACAATGGATTAGGTCGACAATTGAATAACCGAATCTGTATGGACTCTCCTCTGTATTTTGTGTTGATCACATTTAATCATGAAATAACTGGTACGTGACCCCAGAAAGATTAAAATAATGTCCTTGGCACACACGGCAAATTATTACAATGTATATATAGACAGCGTACATTCGAAGTAGTAAATTATCACTCCTTAATAAATGAATTAGCACAGTTGCAACACGCTCAGTATATTAGGCTGCTACATGTACACCTAAAGAGCCGTTGAACGGTGAAAGATCTTGTGTGGATAAAGCAGTTTTGACAAGCAGTATGTGACCTCAGTTTTTTTGTATATTTAATACTTATACACCTGATGAAATCACTTGTATATATAAATACGATTCGGAGGAAACTATTGAAACTATAATTGTCTGTTATAGGTGAATGTCCTGCTGGGTCGAGAGAAGAGAACAACGTATGCGTCCTGTGTGGGAAAGGTTCCTACCAAAACCACCCTGCCAGTATGACGTGTACTCCGTGTCCGTCAGGAACGACAACTCCAGGTCTCGGAGCAACATCCGATAATGATTGCAGTACCGGTACGTGAAGAAGTTATGCTTATGTCCAGACAAGATGGGGCATGTGATTCCATTTCGTCTGGTGCTTGTTTTCAGGGTCCTTTCGAATCTCGAATTCGCTCCGTCAGCACTATTTTCACGTCCCTGTGTTCGTTTGTTGCTACCAAATAGTGATCTATATGATGACCTACGTCACTATGATACAAATGAGAAACTGTTGAAGACCCACTTAGGCAAGAAAGATATGTACAGTACTGTTGGACACACAGTTGATGAAATCAGATGGTAGCTGTTCATTACATGAGCAAGATTATAAAGGAGGCAAGGATCAGTATAGTATCAGTATAGACCTGGAGCAAAGAGTGGCATGAATAATGTATGAAAAGTATGATAATAAGCATGCATATTGTTTACATGTCGCCCCTTTGGTGGCTTATACAGTACATGTATTTAGATAGCATGACGTTGGTGGCTTTCTTCTTAGATGACATTATTGTTAATGTTGGGTAAAAGGGGCATGTACATCATAGTCTAATAACGTAGTGTTGTATTATAGATGAGCGCCTTCCTCCAATACACAACATTCACTGTATAAAGCATCAGCAATATCGGTAGTGAATAAACTACTGAGAATGTATTTATACCAAACCTCTTTTTATTTGTTTAAATACCAATATTACTCATATCTCATTTATAATTTTAAAAAGATTTAAATAATGCACACTACTTCAGAGACTTGTTATATGTTACTGACAAATGTCATCCTGGTTGGAGGAGGCACGGGTGGCCCAGTCGTCTAAGTGCGATTCACTGTGCAGATGTTGCGTCCCTTGGGCACACCAGAAACCTATGATTGTGGGTTCGAATCCCGGTTCGCCCCGATTATGTTTCTAGGTTTGTCAGCACCATGCCCGTGCTCGTGGGTTTCACCGATGTTAAACGCCTGAGACCTGCATCACCTCGGGCTTTCCTCCCACATTAAGCCGACACGCCGTGATATAACTGGAATACTGTTAAAAGCGGCGTTAAACCCAACTCACTCACACTCACTCATCCTGGTGGGAACAACTTGAACTCTTTACTAAATATGTTGGTAAATGTAACATTATCTCCTAACTCCTGTGATAGCCACATAACCATATCAGTACATATTTGACACGTGTTACCCACGTGTTAATAAATATCTGAATTTGCAACTGTAGCTGTAAAATATCTAGTTTCCATACAAAATCACCCAGTTACAGTGGCTGTTCAGTCATCCAACCATTCTTTTCATTTTGTTTCAGATGGTGACCACTTTTCTCCCAGTTCTGATGTTGAGGGTAAGTCCGAGAAAAGGTTGTATTTGTAGTCCATTTAAATGGTACATATATTTCATTTAATGTAATTGAATAACATAACCATCATACAATGTGTACTCTATGAAGATGATGGAGTATTTCGTTGGCAGATTCAACAAACACGACGTTGGCTATTGTGCTTCCTACAGTGATAGCTCTGGTGCTGATCGCTGTAGTCATTGTGGTGGCTTTTAAGGTTAAAAGGTAAGCACAAACAGTTAATATGAAATCTACGATTAATGAATAGCAATTAGATATACAAATACGGAGACAAACATGTGGGATAAGTCAATATTAGTATCTGACTAAAAGTCGTGCCCTCATGACCACTGAGGCCATTACCGTTAACAGGCTGACAAGATGAGGAAGTCATCTATTGGATGACTCCACGCCCAGATTTACTTTCACTTTATTGGAGGTCATTGGAGTATGAACCTTCATAGTGTGAGGGCCCAACTGTATGAACGTCGGAGCTTGCAACGACGTTCAAACAATGTTTGGCACTCACTCTCTGAAGGTGCATACTCCAGTGAACGTACACAAAGTGAATGTAAATTATTACCTATTATTCTACTTTATACCTCAAAGGATGTATACACAATTATATTTAGTATGCGCGACTTCATGTATATACTTACAGACATACAACAACCAGCTGTTGTTCCCCAAAAGGAGAGGTGTCGTGAGCGTATGTTTGCTCAAATTGTTCTACGATAACATCTATTGTAGTTTGGTTACATCAAATAGATTCAAATAATATCATCATTAGATTAGAAAGGTCTGTTAAGAACTACCTCAGTAAATAAGTAACAATGATAGCAGATCGTGATATATTTACATCAAGTACAGGACGTTAAATTGTGAGTGGGCATGCAGTCAAACTCAATTTTTCCCAAGATTAAAGGATCTGAATGCTCAGAAACAACGCTGCTGTATTTATACCTGTTCGGGAATTCTAAGGCTGTTGTGGAAGTAGTCCGTCAATGTTTACGTCATCTTATGATTACAGTCTCGTGAAACATGTGTGAACGTCAAAATGTGTCGCATATTATTCGCGGTCATGTGACCGGCCTCTCGTCCTAAGACAAAACCGTATAACCCGTCTCATTAAAAACACTATACATGTGTGAATCGAGACGATATCAGAACTTTTAAAGGTCTAAACGTTTTTGCTCGGGGTGGGTGATAAAGGCAGTTCCTGTACGTTGCTTTCCTGTCACATCGCGAATGGGAACACCAAGCATGGGCCTCAGATAGTGTACCCATGCGGAAATGTTAACAGGCGCTAAGCTTGAACCACAGCACTCACATGATCACATGGTCATTCATACAACAGCACCAGAGAGAAGAGAAGTGGCAGCACTGTTTGGCCCAAGAAAGACAAGGTAGATTCTTCTCCTCTTCCTCCACCCTACACTCCCAGTCACGTGGTTATGGACCCAGGGAACGTGGGAGCTGCTGTAAGTAGATACGCCCTCTCTGTGAGGGAGACAGATTTTGGAGACGTTTAACATGTAAAGTTCTCATCACTCTCACAGGACAAAAAAATGTATTTCAAATATTGGACACAACATGGAATGGACATTCATTTTCAAAATTTTAATATATTGAGCTACCGATGAAAAAATATAGACAGTCAAGAATATTGCGAATATTTATATATTTCGATCGTATTCGTTTGTGTTGAATTTTATTGTACAACATTATGTCCTATATGTTGTGAAGTCTGCATACGGTCTGATTAAATGAGTAACCAAATTTGTTTGGTATTATTGTTGTTTTGCATCATCGTAATTCCATGTTTGGATAAGTATCAATGATTTTACAGACAGTGATATATCAGATTATATAGCATACATTACCCGTGTCACTTTTGATATTGAAAACCATATTTTACCTTCACAAACGTATGTACATAATGAAATGTACATTTCATATGGTTTCAGTGGTACCCACAGCAAACAGCCCCCTCAAACTCAAGCATGTATCCGGTGAAGCACCCCCCACAGTTAGATGTGACAGCTGAGTAGGTCCTAGATAGCAGATGGGCCTAACAAACACGCCATTGTTATAATGGCCATAACGCTCAATGCGTGCGTGCATCTGTGGAGTATGCAAAACAATTATTTGGGTGCAGTGTATTCTAGTTAGTGGCATATCACATGTCTATAATAGTAACAATGTTTTCTTTCGGATTTTTATTTCACCATGGATTATTTTTAACAGAAACAAATGCATTGTGTTGTAATGTGGCAACCCGTTTTTTTCAACATGTATTACCGAGTTACTCATTTACATTATTTCTATTCATGGCACAATTAATTGTCAAATGCATTAACAACCCGCTGTCATAACCTTAAATAATGATGTGTGCTGCGCATACCAAACAGACAAACAAACAAAACTAGAATTATTTGCATCCAGAATTATGGACTTACAGAATTCTAAGACGCCGTAATTGGCTGTGCAGAGTTGCGTTCCTGGGGCACGCCAGACACCTATGATTTTGGGTTCGAATTCCGGTTCGTCCCGATTATGTTTCTTTGTTTGTCGACACCTGTGCTCGAGGGTTTCACCGGAGTGGTAAACGCCTAAGACCTGAATCACTTACATCACTTCGGGCTTTCCTCCCACATCAAGCTGACACGCCGTGGTACAACTGGAATATGGTCAATGCGGCGTTAAACCCACCTCACTTACTAATAAACGTTAATAATTAATTGTTTCATTGTTGTGTATCCCATTAGGTCAGTTTTACATAATTAGTTAAAGTTGTATGTTTAACCTTTATTGCGAGTCGAAATTACAATAGGAGCGACGTGGGTAAAGATGATTAGCAACGACAGACTTAGGTGTGATAAGGTGAAGCTCTCACCGTATAATATTTCATAGTGACGTTATATGCCTGAAACATTACAACCACAACAGGCTAGAATAAGGCCCCGGTCTTCCAAAAAGATGTGCCCATAAAATCAGCAGGGCAACAGAAATGCGTTAAAAGGGAGGTTACTCTTACAATCTTCATATCTCCTTGAACACGACCACTGCAACTCTGTGTGTCAGTTGTTTAACGCCGCATTCCGCAATATGCCAGCACTGTGAAGACTGCCTGTAATAATCAAGTCGGAACGGCAAGCCTGTGACTGATATCATGAGCAACGACCCATGCAGTCGGGGTATAGTGACTTCGCCTTAGCCCTCATACGACAAGCATAGGTTGCTGGGGACCAATTTCCAGGGGTTCCCAATGTATTCGTCTCTTACGACTAGGAAGTATAAAATGTAAGAGCAGTGGAAATGACAATGACAAGAATGATAATCACCTCGCCGCAACAGTGGTTAAGCTTCAAACCAAGGCTGAACACCATGATGAAACGTGATCTTCCCAAGAAAACTGGTCTGGATGTAATGTCAGATGAAATGTAAGATGAATTGTGAGATGAGCCAGAGACGCACTCGCTCCACCAACATTCTACACAGTGCTTGTCCAGTCCGGTGTCACTTGAACATCACAGAAAGTTCCACATGTTTCTATAACGCTTGACATCCTATTCCGGACATTCACAGATAATTTGACCATCTATATATAATAACTTCCTCACCGCCGCTTACATTAAAGAGTACTATATTCCTGACAACTACTCATTGTCCAAATACAATGCAATGAGGATCTAGTGAATCTCAACAGAAGCAATATAATACAGTTACAATCATTGTTCAACAATAAATTACGCTGCCATGTAACAATATATAACTGTAACCTGGATACACGTGTATTGTATAGTTAGTAAGTGAGTGAGTGAGTGTGGTTTTACGCCGCCTTCAGCAATATTCCAGCAATGTTCCGGCGGGGGACACAAGAAAAAAAAAAAATCACACATTGTACCCGTAAGGGTGATTCGAACCCTGGTCTTCGACGTTTTATTCAAAGCTCAACACCTACAGTATATGTAGATATATAATAAACTAAAGCTAGCTTGCACCTCCCTGGTTTCTGTTTGGTATTGATCGGTGAAGAAATAGTTCATTAAAAATCAAGAGTTATTCCCCTTGCACTGTCTGGCGTCCGTGTTAGCATCCTTGTATGATAATCTTGTAAATAAGTCATTTTGTCAATATTTTTGCTGTAAAAAATTTCATATTCATATTTAATTCAATTTGAATTCATGAAACTATGTTTTTATTATTGTATAGGGACAAACAAAAACAACGGCAATACTCATAGACACTTAATATAAGCTAATTTATACACAACAATATGATGTCTATCTAAATTATTAATACATGCAGCATTATTTTTATGATATATTCAACTATTATTTTGCAAGGTGCCGCCCTACACGTGTGAGAGGGGCGATTTGCATCCCCCATCAGTTGCATTCTCGTGGCGATGAGTGCAATATATGAATACGGACAATAAGTTTACACAAAGTAACGTGTGTATATATTTTAGACATAACATTACAAACCAGGCCCATGTTATATCATCATAATTAGTAGGCAAGTCTAGATCACTGCAGAATCCTTTTATCTGTTTTTTTCTGTAAAATATGTTCATTTTAGAGACTAGATGTTAGTCTATAGTAGTAGTAGTAGTAGTAGTAGTAGTAGTAGTAGTAGTAGTAGTGGTAGTGATGCAAAATATTTTCAGTTTCGGGTTTCACGCGGGTAATCGTGCCTTACCTTTATACAATATTCATATCGAGTGACACAGCCACAGGCACCCAGCCTATATTACCACATACATATCGTACAATGATCCTCGCGATACTGTTTTTTTTAATCTACGCTAATTTGAAACTCAAAATGTGATGACAATCCAGTAACGAAATGTCACGCACGACGCCTAATATCACAGCAATGGCAACATATCAGTGGAAAGAGAATCGGTTGTTCCTAGTGGGGAGCAAGTTAAAGACGATACCGGTGACATCAAGCGATTAATTGAAATAGAAACTCTATTGATAACTCAATAATCACAAGCAAACATTTAAATTTACCCATCCATTTTTTTCATCCGAAAGCCTGAGGCTTGTATGTGATGCGAGATCTTATTGCTTAAATCTCATCTCCGTATCGCCCACTATCAAATAAATTGTATTTGATTTGCTCCACCAATCCTAATCATCTAATCCCGAAATAGATAATATCATACCGACCTCAAACGAAATTTCTTTAGCTGTTTATTTGTCTGAAAACTTTTAAAGCGCTATCTTCGACACACCTGCGCGAATTCAGTGTGATTTCGCAGTGCACGGACTATAGCTTACCAATTAGTCTCTCTCCCGCACGTGTGAGGTTTAGATTCTGCCGCAGGGAAAAAGAGTTCGTCGTTTTACTTCATATGAAAAGATACATATTTTCTTCAGAAATAATTCAACAGCGACACAGCTGTAACAGCCTATGGCTATCTTCATATTGGTGCTAGTAGCTTGTTTAATGAAATTTGGGTGTCAAATTGTTCTAAATTAACCCGCCTCGCTAACCGGTAACAAGCAGCCCCCGATTGAGATTCACAATACACGAGATGCAATTCACAGCCGATTTATGAAACATATTAGATTTCTTTCAATCGGCCAATAGTCGCTTTCAAAAGGCAAGAAAAGATTATATCCATATAGAGTGTTACAATAAGGAATGGGGGACAGCGTTCTTTTAGAAAAGGGGGATGTTATTCTATCCCACTGGACCGAGACACAAGCCTTTACTCGACAAATCGAGATTTAATGGGATCGTATTATAGCATGGCGAAAATCAAACATTTTGAGCCGAGTGAAGAGTGGGAGTAATTTGACGTATAAACAGTCGAATCGTGTCTCTAAAACTGACGAAGTTGGGTGCCCCCAAGATATCACCCATGGAGAAAGGGCTAAAGAATTCCCCGACAATGGGCCAGTGAGAATTGATGAAGAGGGAGGGGCAAGCGCTGCCCCCGGGGCAAACGAAATAGGATTAGAGCCAAGTACACGGCCCTCGGTCCATGCATGGAGAAATGAGGAGAAAATGTCCTCTGCTGCGAATCCGTTTTCGTCACATTTGCTACACCTCTCATCTTAGATAATTCAATGGCGGATGCGATCCTTGCTCCTATATCGGGTTAATCCTTAACACCTCGTTACGTGAAAGATTCTCCTCTGAAAGAAGGGCTTCTTCTTCCTTAAATGGGAATCAAATTAGATACTGGATGAAATCTGTCCTCCTTTAGAAACATGCGCATCCTATCGAAAAGACTTCATTGCTGGGTCAATTTTCAAAACAGGTTACCGCGGGTGATACCGCCATGATGTCCTCTTGTCCTTCCTACTTCACCGTGGAATCAGAACATACTGTCCTCTAGGAGTAAGCCTCTCAAATATAACAAAACAAAAAGTCAGCGGAATGTGTATTGGATCTGTCAAATGGTGGCATACCAAAATTGAGCTTCGCATTGAGCTTTAGAGAATAGAACAAGGAACCTCGAGTGACGACCAGGCGCACTAACAATTGGGCTACCCGAAGCATGTTTTTTTTATGATAGACATGCGGAGCTCTTGTTTCATGTCGTTTTGACTTAAGTCTCGGAGAAGAAGCTTTGTACCCAGTTGGAAGAAGAACGGTGACAGTTAAGGATATAGGAGGTGTGACGGGTATACCATGTCTGCATGACAACTGTAACGAAGTCTTGTCATGGTGTCTATCCAGTAACACCTCACAATGACTCCGTTCATGCGTGGACTGTATTAATGTTATGTTGGGGGCACGAATGGTCCAGTCGTCTCGATGTGCCGAGATGCGTCTCTTATGTGTGTCAGAAACCTATGATCGTGGGTTCGAATCCCGGATTCGCCCTGATTACGTTTTTGTTTTGTCAGCATACCTGTGATTGTGGGTTTCACCCGAGTAGTAAGCATCTAAGACACGCGTCATATTCCGCGACCACAAACAATCACAGCCTGATGTTGTGGACAGATTGTCTGCCCGGAATGCGGAAGGTTGGTCTCGATACCCTTGCCGCGTCATACCGAAAGGTGTTAAAGATAGTGTGTACTTGTTGTTACCCTGCCTGACGGTAAAGTGGATAAAACAGGAATTGGTCGGCTCGGAGTTCTAATAGTGGTTCTGAGTTAGGTATCCATGTTAAACCGCGACATGGTAACTGAGATAGGTAACACTAAAAAACCGGTATAAGTCCGAACTAGTTCAAGCAGACATGTACGTCGATATATAAGTGAAAAACAACCCTTGAAAGCAACAAATTCGATTTCACCTCACCTCACCTCTAGTAAATTCAAACCGTTCAAAGCGGCGTAAAATTACACACACTCACTCCTTCTGGGACCATATGGGTCAATGTGCAGTCATGTTAAAGACTCGCAAAAAGGACGATTCAAACGCATGCTGATTGTAAAGGGAGGTAACTTTGAGTGGAAGACCCGTCTATCCGCGCGACAAGACGGTGTTTGTCTGCTTGCAATAACTGTTTTACAAAGAAAACACTGTGGCATGTGTTATGCCTGCACTTGCAACGCCCCAATTGGTGCTTTTGCAACAAAGAGACGTATAAACCAAACAGCATCCCGACGCATATAAATGTAC